AATATCCAGCCTCATACACATAACTAGGAACTGTAGAGAGCCCAGGCCTTTCCTGTAATTTGTAGGTGTAGCCTGCTTGTCAACTCCATCTTTAAGGGTCTGATCTGGTGCAAATTTAATGCTTATTCCTTTCTTCATTGGTGTTTTGGAAGGTTTGCAGTCTTTCATTCCATATTCAGTCAGTAGATTCTTGATATACTGTTCCTGGTTCACAAAAAGGTCTCCATTTGGCTGCTTTTGAACCCACATGCCTAGATAATGGCTCTGTTCTGTAACCTTCTTGATCTCAAAGCATTCCTGAAGCTTCTTGATGAGCCATTCTATCTCAGCTTCATTGGGTCCCATTATACAGCAGTCATTAACATGTAGGGTTAGATAGATTTGTTTCCTCTTGTGGTAGAGTAAGCCCACATCATATGGAGAGATCTGGAATTCTAGAGATTTCAGATAGTCAGTAGCTGCTTGATACCAAAGCCTAGCAGCTTGCTTCAATCTATAGAGTCCCTGGCATAAGAGCCCTACTAGGTTACCCTGCCTGTGCTTGAATCCAGTGGGTAGTTGAACATATACATGTTTGTCCTCTGGAAGAGTTCCATTTAGAAAGGCTGTCATAAAGTCAAAAACTCTGATCTTCCAGTTCTTGACTGTTGAGATAGCAAAGAAGACTCTCATTGTAGATTCACTGACAACTGCTGTATAGATCTTCTTGTAGTGAACATCTTCTTGCTGTTTGAATCTGCATACAACTCAATGAGCTTTGAATCATACTGTGCTACCTGTGTTGTTGAGCTTTCTATTGAATACCCATTTGCCAGAGAGGATCTGCATTTCAGGTTCCTTCTTGACTAGAATTCAGATGCCTTTCTCTTGTAGTTTGGAGACTTCAACATCTAGAGCCTCCTTTCAATAAAGCCACTCTTTGAAGTGTTTGGCTTTGGTGATAGATTTTGGTATATCTGTATGTGTGCTGAGCACTGGAAGCTCAGCTCCATTTGCCTCTTCTTCTTCTGTTGCATCTGAGAAGATTTCTTGCTCTTTGCCCAGGTATGTGGGCTCTAAAGCCTCTAATTTGCTGTCTGTGAGCTTCTTCATGATTTCTGGCTTCTTCTTTGCAAGGTAAGCTAGTAGCTTGTGTTGCCAGCCATTCAATAGATCTATATAATTGTACTCCTCTGAGAGTTCAATGTATTCAGCTTCAGTTAGCAAATTTGTAGGGATTTGATCCAATTTCTTGTTAAATATAACATCTCACAAGATCATTATACTGTTTGTTTCTGGGTCCCAAAGCCTGTAGGTGTGCATGCCATGATATCCTACAAATTTGACCTTCTTGAACCTAGATTGGAGCTTTGAGAATTTGTTCAAAATCTTCACATAAGTGTCACATCCCCATCTATGGACCCATCTGCAATGGGGTTGATGACCCATCCAGGCTTCAAAGAGTGTCAACAGCTTCATGTTCTTGCATCTGTATAGAGGCACTGAGGTAGGTGATAGATTCATCATCATGGAGACTGTGGCAAGAGCTTCACTTCATAACTCATTAAATAGTTCTTAGTCTATAAGTACACTTCTTGTTCACTCACAAAGAAGTTGTATTCCTTGTTCACTCATTTCATCTTGTTGAGATGTATATGGGCATGTAATCTCCTGTTGTATACCCTTGCTCCTGTAGAATTCAGTCAGTTGTTGGCTTGTCAATTCAGGAGCTCCATCAGACAGTATAGTGCCAATTTTTTGTTTGGTAGACACTTCAATCATGTTAATCCAGTTCTTTAGAGTTTCTGGAGCTTCTACCTGCTTCTTCAGGAGGTAGATCCACCTGTATTATGTGGCATTGTCTGTTATAAGTAGAAAATACTTTGCTCTGCCATAGCTTGAAGAATCAGAGTCTGTAGATAGGGTACAGCTGCCACCTGCAATATCAATAAAAATTTTAGCTCCAGGCTTTGTAGAGCATGTTCTAGGTTTGAATGGGTTGCGAGCTTGCTTAGCTTTAGCACAGGTTTCACAGAACTCTAGCTTCTTTACTCCCTTTATTTGCATTGCCATTCTCAGATCTCTAGCTAGAATAGCTATATTGTGGGTGTTGAGATGCCCCCAGCATTTGTGCCAATTGGCCATCATATCCTCCTTGATTTCTGGTGTCTTTGCCAGGTGATTCAGTACCAAAAGTGCATCATCTTTATTCTCTAGAGTTGCTGTTACATAGCAGGGCTCTAGAAGTTTTGTAGGTACTGGAAACACATATGCCAGTAAATTGCATATTCTAGGTGTTTGTAGGACTAGAATGTCATCCTTGTTAAGCACAGCTTCAAAGCTCTGCATTTTATCTGCTGATTCTAGTAGGAAGATGTGTTCTCCATTGACATAGAGCTGTTCCACTGTAAAGCCATCTTGTATAAGCTTCCCAAAGCTTATAAGGTTAATCTGGAGGTCAGGCATGATTCTAACCCCTCCAATGCTCAATTCTCCATTGTCAGTTTGGATACTGGCTGTGCCAAATCCTCTGGTGACTGATTTCAAACTGTTTGTCATAAGCAGTTGTGTTGCATGGCTCTTTGGGTCCATTTGAACTAGATCCATATGTGAGATCATGTGGGATCCAGCTCCAGAGTCAAGAATCCATTTGTCTGTGGATTTGTGTGCTTTTTTTATAGAGAAGGCTGCTTCATGAACTGAATGAATCTTGTCTGTTGCAACTGTAGTTGTTTTCTTGCCTTTGCCTTTAGAGTCTTCCTTAGGCTTGTTAGGCTTTGAATTCTTGTTAGATTTGCAAAATTTAGCCAAATGACCAGGTTTGCCACAAATATAGCAGTTCCAGTTCTGCAGTGAGCTCTTCTCTGAATTGGATTTGGAGTTTGTATTTTTGTAAGACTTTTGGGAATCCAAGCTTGTTGCATTTGTATTTGGCTTTGTAGATCCATCTTTCTTCAGATCTTTCTTGGGGATTTGGTGGAGAATATTCTTCAGTAGGCCTTCCAAATTCTTCTCTGATAGGTTCATTCCACTCTGGCATGCCATATCAAATTAGTTCTGTATGAACTCTCTCCATTGGAACATAATGTTCATCTTCAAAATATCATGTAGGGTGTGGTCCAGTTACTTGAACCCTAATCTCTCAAATTCCCCACAGATTGCTAGAAATCTCTCTATATAATTTCTTTCTGAGCCAGTGGACTGTAGTGTCATTCTCACTAACTCTGTCAATAGGCTTTCCTGCTGTATCTCAGATCTCTCTTGAAAGGCTGTTCTTACAGCTTTTCAGAGTTTGTAAGCACTAAGACTATCTGATTCCTTGAAGTGTTTTCTGGCTTGTGCAGATATTGTACTATTGATTAGACTGTGTAGCCATTTATTCTGAACATTCCAGTATTGTGAAATCTTCAAGTTCTCTGGCCATGGTGAGGTCTCTTGTCTTTCCAGAATAATCTTCTCAGTATCCACTTGACAAGCTACCTTTAGGATGGCTTTGCTCCATGCTAGGTAGTTACTGGCCCCAGCCAGGGTTATAAACTTCTTTACCATTTTCAAGATCTTCATGAATTGATTGATTGCTCTGCCAGTTTGTGTATTCATGTCTATAAGATTGCTGACAAATTCTTCTAGTTTGTCCTCAGAGTCTATTTCTCAGTCCTCTTCTTCTTGTTAAGCTTCTTGCTCTGGATTTTCCTGTACTGTTGCAGGTATGTTTGCTTGACCTGATAAGAGACTCATTTACTGTGCCAGCTGTTGTACTGTCTCCTGTTGCCTTTACATCACCTCCTGTTAATTCAGCATCATTCTGCACAACATTTGGAGTTCACTCTCCTCCCTAGGCTCCTGCTCATCATTTGGCAGGCTGTCTCTGAGTCTACTCAACCACCTAAGCTTGGTTTGGGGTATAGGAAGGTTTGTTGGAGCTTCCCAGTCAGGAGTTCAGTGCTCTGGTTTGTCCATACAGTTCACCATGGCTTTGATGTTGCCAGATGCTCAATTTGCTTGCTAGATGCATTTAGCAGGCATTTCACTCACTCTCTGGTCATGTGCCAGAAAGCTACAGGGTTCAACTCACTCTCCAGCTCAGTGCTAGAAAGCTACAGGGGTTTGCATGTATAAGAGATGTCTATCTCAACATACACTCTCTTTAGTGCTCATAAAACCTCATTATCCACAAGGATAACTGTTCAGGGTGTTGATTGTAAGCTTCAATAACCAATTGAGCTGTAAATCAACCTTATATACTTGCTCTTCAGCGCAAAGGGCTATAACCTGATGGAGGACTTGTATGCTTGTCATTTGCTAAGCTACCTAAAGGGGAATCTGGCTAATCTATGTGGGTCACGTGAGCGAGGTGCTAGTTGGATTACCTAACAAAACAACTATGCCGTATTATTACGGATAGGGACATCCCGCGGCCCTGGGATGTCCAGGTTTCTACCTCTCTCGCCTCGTTAAGCGTCAACTCGATGGCTGAGAGAGATCGGGGTGGCCGCAACGCTTTTGCTCTGGCCCCCTTTTTCTTCCCTTGGCGTTGATTTTGCTGCCCGTTGCCCCGCATAATTTTAGGGCTCGGTCTTTTGGCCCGCTCCTCGGCGGTATAAACTTCAAACTATCACGCGAAAAAATGAAGTCAAGCATTCCGCTGCCGGCTGATTGGCATGATAGGGCCTCACGACTAGTCCTTTTGAAGCAAGATGAAAATATTTCAACGGCCTAATTGGAACCTTGACTATTTTTAATTCCCTGATGCTCCCATTGTTAAGAGGAAATGGTGGCAGCGCACCGTTCCTTTGGATGGAACATGACTCGTATGCCACGCCATCATGCAGGCTGTTAATAGCCCGATTCCTTCTGGGGTTGGGGTTGGATTTCCAGCCCCCATGAATTCATGGAGTGGTTCAAGAGGGGAGGCATGTCCGCAATGGCGGCAGAAACTTGTCCATGCCTGACTATAACTTGGTTTTCAAAGCAAAAGAGTGACCTAGGTTAGCTCCCCAAATAGTTAACAAATATCCGTCATGGGTTCTCCAGAAAACTCCGGCGAGGAAGACCTCGATCAAATGTGGAACGAGGCCCAGATTGAGTTCCAGAAAATAAGGGGAGGGATCCGAAATCATTCACCGTCCTTAGAGTGGATGAAAAATTAGCCAGAAAAAAGAAGCTGATGAAAAAGCGAGTGCGAGATACCGGCGAGCAAAGGATGTTGTCAACAAAACTCTCTTATGCATTCAGAGTCTCGGTTCACTTGCTACCGATGCAGCATCCAACGTAAGATCAACCCTTCAAGATCTCTTTCCACTTCCCTCCTGAATCTTGCTGGGTATAGGCTTTTGGCCCTTCAACTCTTTGTTTCAATGCTGTATCGTACCTGATCACTACTGCACAAAATTATTCCAAGATTTTCGATGGCGTGGCCGACCTCTTCGAGCGCATTCCAGCATTCCCTGACGGGTTTGAAGTATACGCCAAGTCAAAAACCATAGGTGTTCAGATTGACCTGCATCTCCGGAGGATCATTCACGAGCTTTTACGAAGTTTCATACGAATCTGCGCGCTCTCAATTAAAATATCCAAGCATTCCAAAGTTCTTTAGCTCTTGAAGTGTTTAGTTTTGGAACCGACAAAGGGGTCTCCGAAGAGCTGTCGAAGCTTGAAAACTTGGTGCAACAAGAGACAGGAATGAGCGTTGCACTGATTCTGGAATCGGTCAAGGTGAATGAATCAAATGTGGCTTCCGGGTTTGCCGAAACCAAAGGATCGTTAAAGACAATCGATTCGAAAGTTGATGGAATCGCCAATCAGCTGGCGGGTGTTTCAAACGTCTTGGAGAAGGCGGCAACACTGAAGGAGGCGGATGACTTTCCCGGCAGAATCGCGAAAAATTAAGCAAGCGCTTAAAATAGAAAAGGAATTGTGGCGCAATGATCAAGAGGAATTCGTCCGAACAAGAGTCTGCGGCTCGGGTGAATGGCTTCTTACGGACCCTCAGTTCGCTGCCTGGGCAGATAAAACAGGGTATGCGGTTCCAATTCTGGCTTTCGAAGCCAAAGAGGGTTTTGGGAAAAGTTATTTGTGTTCAGCTGCTATAAGGCGCCTCCATCAACTCTACCCTCCTGGGAATACTGAAGATCATATGGCGGTTGCGTATTATTTCTTCCAGAAGGATAACAAGGATGAGAGGTCTGTCAACAAAGCACTTCGAGCTGTGATCTGGCAATTGACACAGCGCGATGCAGTCTATCAGAAATCTGTTGCTGGAGCTTGCGACAAGCCAGAGGAATTTGGAAACACCTTAGAACTATAGAGGCAACTGATTGTTCAATTCTCCACCAAAACCGAGGTAACTATCTTTATCATCCTTGACGGTATTGACGAGGCAAAAGCGGAGACTAGTGACCCTCTTATCCAAATCCTTCGTGAAGTTTCTTTGTTTGCTACTAAAAAACGACCGTTGTCTCTAAGGCTACTCATAACTGGGAGACCGATGTCATTTTTAGAAATCAACAAGACACCAAACATCGCCATGTCTACAATTCAACTTGGAACACGAAATAAGGAAGATATTCTCAAGTTCGTGGAGCTGCGACTAGATACCATGGAAATCTTTAAGAAATCGGACCAACCGGACATTCAAGAACTCAAGGAGCGTATTCGCACTGAGCTTACCCATGGCGCTCAGGGAGATTTCTTTAAACTTAACTACATGCTCACGGAAATTAGCAAGAAAAGAAGGAGGAAGGAGATTGAGGAAGCTTTAGAGCATGCTGATGAGGACCGTCAAGCCACAATTGCCCGTGAAATAGAGCGGCTTAGGCAGACTCTTGGAGATGAAGACATTGAGGATCTAAACGAACTTTTAACTTGGGTCATTGGTGCAAGGGTACTTATGGCCGCTACTAACGACGCTCGAAAGTGCCTTGTTTATTAAAAACGGTGAAAGCTCACTGACACCTTTGGAAAACCAAGTTCGGGAAAAATATTCCGCCCTCCTAGAGGTATCAGAATATCAAACCCTCACAGTTACGTCCCAATCTATCATTGAGTACTTCCGCGCAAAGGCTCAACAGGCAGCCGAGGATAAGGCTACGCACACTGCACTCCATGAGTCAGAGATTGCCATTGTTAAAAGATTCTTACGCAACGTCTGTGACGACGAGCTCTTTAACAAGTTCGGGTTTGAAGAATTTTTTCAGGAGAAACTGAGCCATAGAAATACCTCAATCCATGCTGACTTGGACAATATGGATTTACACATTCTTCTCTCACTCCTCAAGGCTATTTACGGTGAACTAAGAAGCGAAGTGTTCACACTGATAGAGTACACCTGTTACTGGCTTCCGGACCATTTCAGGGAGGTTGACTTGGCACTTACACCACCAGGCCCTCAGAGCACCATTGGCTCTCAACTTATTAAATTATTCACGGAGGAAGAATATGTTGACCGGTGGTGGACGCAAGACCGCATGTGGATGCGGACTGGGTGGGTTTACAACGATGAGTATTGCTCTATTGTTCTGGGGTGGTTTAAGGATTCCGCCGTCGTCAAAGGTCTCACTGTGGAACAAAGGGAGTGGGTAAATGGGCTTAATTCATCCTCGCGTCCCGATGATGATCTTCTTAAGCCCATTGCTAAAATTATGGCCAAAAGGTGGCTACAAGTTTGCGGCCTGTGGTTTGTGGAGGATATATATTGGTGGTTACTCGGGTATGTGACAAAGGTATGGGACTTACGCAAGTTCAAAGGTTGAATATGGTATTTAACCTGCCCCTAGGTCAAGGAGCGAACGGGAGAAGGCGAGCGAGTTACTAGCGATGTTTCGCCGACTTTGGAGCAAATCCTCGAGGTGGAGAAGTGGGCAATGAAGGAGCTTGGTGTAACAGAGCAAGATTCATTATGGACTGTTCAAATGGCAATTACATTTCGTCATTACGGCTTTTACGAGCAAGCCATAGAGAGAAGCACGATATCCAAGAACCTTGATTCGTCATCTAACTGGCGTGCACCGTTTTGTCTGGCCCAAACGCACGCTTTGCAGGGGAGATACAAAATGGCCCTTGAGACTTTGGAGGAAGTCATTGCAATGTTTAGAAAAAATGGAGACATAATGGAAGAGTGGTGCGCTGCCTTCTACAGCGATATACTCTACTATCTCAGAGAGTGGAACGTTGAACTTCAAGAGTATGAGGCAGCCAACGCTCATAATCCAGATAGCTATGAACCCATTCTCAGAATCATTCTAATCCTTGAAGCACAGGAGAAGTACGGTGAAATTATTGAATGTCTGCAGAGTTTGGATGGCGAAATGGATGAAAACGGATTGACGCGACTCGTTGCAATGATGCACCAATATGCAGACTCAAAACTGTACCATGAAACTATCACCAAAGCCGGACGGGCTGCCGGCCAACTTGAGGCGGTTAAGGAGACTTACCAGGTTGCAATTGAGGCGGCCAAGTCTAGTGAGACAAGGCTCACAACACTTACAGCACTCCGCTACTGGTACCCACTGTTTCTTTATTATGACTATCCTAGTCATAATGCACATGAGGAAGCCGTCACGGTCTGGGAGCAAAACATTGCATCTATCCCTCGCATTTCGAACGAGTTGATATCCAACGTGCGTTGGTCAACGGTCGCAAAACTCGCTACCTCCTACCTTCAAGAAGCAAGAGAGGCGGGTCTTGACACCCCTATTGCAGATACATATCGCAGCAAGTTGATCTATCTCTCCACAAGCAGCAGCGCTGGAGCTGGTGACGAATACTTTTCCCACATCGATGCGCAGCTCATTCTAGCGAGGTTTCATTCTATCATGGGATATGAACAAAAGGCAATAGAAGCTATTCGAAGCCATATAAAGCTAGCTCTTGATATTTTGGATGATAATGATGAGAGTAGTGACTGGCAAGGGTTCAAAATACTCTACATTTGCCTGAGCCACATTGAAGACGATGTCAACGCACTGGCAGCGTGGTCACTACTCGGGCCAACGATTGATAGAGAAGCCACTTCAGATTGCCAGGAAATTGGCGAAGAAACCTTTTCAGAAGCCGGAGGAAGCGAAAGTGAAGCCGCTGCTGCCGAAGAGGACGAGAGCTCCGAAATTCTCTCGCAAACCGATGCGGGAGACGAAGAAGAAGGTGAAGATGGACAGTCCGCAAATGGCAGTGAAACTTCACCATCTCCCAGTGAAAATGGCTACGGTGGAGGGCTGGATGGGCACCTCTCTTTTATTTGGGACGGGGGTTGCGGACATGAATGGAGCTATGCAGATGATGTCTACCCTTGCAAAGACTGTATCGATGTCCAATTTGATACTGCATGCTATGAGAAACTGAAGGCCGGTACCTTGGGGCAGAAGGTATGCAATAAAAACCACGACTTTTTGCACGTTCCTAGATGGGATTTTGAGGAGGCGGCAAGTGTTCCTGAGAGCCACGTTCGTGTTGGAGGGGAGACCATCACAATCCCGGATTGGTTGTCTACGATTCGTAAGAAGTATGGATTTGACCAATGGTTGGCGAACCACCGGCTACCTAGCTACTCTGTAGCCGACTAGTTTTATTCCGCTATTAAATAACATGGTACGGAGTACTCCGTACACTTTCCTCTATTCCGTGTGCACACATCTCTTCACAACCTGTCAAGGTTGACACCTCTAGTACCTACTGCCAAGGCGGTGGCCTGTTGGCTCAGCTCGGCTTAGCGACTAGTTATTTGACTGTACCTGTTGAAGCGTCGACAGAAAAGCTTGCATACAAAAGATTGGACTCTTCCATATTTTTGGAAGAATCTGATGGGAGGGTATGTCTAGGCAGGCCCACGCTTCAAGAGCGTTCACTGGCTATTATGATGATCCACCTGTGGGAAATCCAGGGAGAGCTTGAATGAATTTTTTTTTTTTTTTTTTTTTTGGTGGTTACGATGCCCACCACAGTTGATGACTATAAATCCCTCTCGCTCGCTGGCGGGAAGGATATAAGCAATCCAGTTTGAAATCTGGGGCATGCAGTTGTTTTTCAGGCTCTCAGGACCGGACAAGCTGGAAGTAAAATCATGCGGAATTGATTGTCTTTTCTCCTAACCTTCGCTTGCCCAATTATGTTTACCTTGGGAAATGTGGACAGCAAGCATAATAGTATCTGTGCGCAGGCTCCGTACATACTAGGTACCTATGTGGCGGCGTACGGCGAGCTGTACGTGTAGGATAGCCTTTCCCGCATCCTGACCCATTGATTGACTCAATATATGGAGCAAGATCTAAATGCTCCATGAAAGATACGTCGGAACCATCTGTCAAGCGCAGATCGACGTGCGGCAATGCTTCATTGCTTCCAGACTTCTTCTCCGCACTTGAAGCTCTTGCCGCATGGTCAATCTCTACTTCCTTTGCATATTACACCATCGCCCGAGCTTTCCGGACAAGGAGCTGTTTCTAAAGGTTCTATACAAAACACCAGCGCCTTTTCTGTCTCCTATCGCCTGGCTTGTCTTCCCATGTTATCAATTTGGTTTTATTTGATTCCTTGATCAGACACCGAAAGCGGCGTATTTCTTTTAGGAACGGAAACTTTTATGTCATCGGCCACCTATAATATCATTACAAACCATTTCACCCTTCTTTGGAAGGGTTTGATCGGGCTCATAAAATGGAGATCTGGTTGTATTTCAGGTCGAAACGCCCTTATACCCAGCAAGAGCTGGACGTCGAGAAAACTGGGTTGCAGGCTGCCAGTTTGAGAGATTTTGATGCACGCCAACGCTGGAGCATATTTAAATCATGCAATGTTGAAGCGGAGTCTGAATGCAATGTATCCGTGACATTCCAGGTGGAAATGGAAGCAGGAAACTCCATCAAGTACCGCACCTGCAGCTGGCAAAAGGTCCGCTAAACCTCCTATCATATTGCAGCTCCTTCATCGCTAACCATCCTATATTGTGTAGACGGCAGGTCTTCTTTTCTCAGAATACATTTGCCTGGCAATCGTCTCATTTCCCTATTCATATGCAGTTCTAGGGCTGATACCAGGCTTGATTTTGACGGCTGTAATCGCCCTGATTGTCTTATATACTTCGATCATAATCTGGTGAGACCTAGACTCGGCATTTAGAGGGCTCGCACGAGGAATGGAGGCTAACCCTGTAATAGGCAATATTGTTTACGACATCCTACTGTACGGGATGTCTGCGACATAGGCCAGCAACTCTTCTGGAATTCAAAAGCAGCTTGGTATATCACAGCCATTATGTTTCTCTTAAATAATACCTTCATTCAGGTACTGAACCCTGGCATACAACCCTTGACCTGTCTCGATACTGATTTCGGATCGTCAGGGACTGCATTGTCTCGTTGGTGCCCAGTACCTGAATACCATGACAAACCACAGTAGATGCACGGTTGCATTTGCGGCTGTGACAGCAGTCATCTCTTTTGTCTGCTCACTTCCCAGGACGTTCAATTCGCTCTCAAAACTTGGCGGTTTTTCTGCCTTTTTTACCTTCTTGTCGGTACTGCTGCTAACAATATTTGCGGCTCAACAACCGCAACCCGCAAGATACAACCCAGATCCTGACCATGTTGGGCCCGATGGAACTAAGCTTGGCGGCGAACCACGCTTCTCGCTATTTCCGGCACAAGGAACGACGTTTGTTGCTGCCATGGGCGCATTTTTGAATATAAGCTATACTTTTATTGGGCAAATTACGCTCCCGAGCTTTATTGCGGAAATGAACAACCCAAAAGATTTCTACAAAGCATTATTGGCGGTTACATTTGCGGAAGTTGTTCTCTTTAGCCTCGTGGGTTCAATAATCTACGTGTACAACGGCCAGTACACAACCTCTCCAGCTTTCGCGACGCTGAGTAGCGCAGGTGCTAAGGACATTACATTCTCCTTGATGGTCCCCACTTTACTCTTTCTGGGAGTTCTGTACTCGTCCATCTCAGCCAGGTTTATCTTCTTTCGGTTATTCGAAGGCACATGCCACAAAGGCAACCATACCGTTGTCGGATGGCTCTCGTGGGCGGGTATACTGGCTGTCACATGGATATTTGCTTTCGTCATTGCGGAAGTCATTCCATTCTTTGCTGATTTACTGTCCATTATGAGCTCTCTGTTCGACTCTCTTTTCGGATTCATTTTTTGGGGAATGGCGTATATTCGAATCCAAACTGCAGAGGAATCGAAACGGCCGAATGCCTCTCGAAACACACAAGGTTGGATCGGTTACGCTTTCAGCTGGATTCTCATTGGGATTGGACTGTTCTTCTTAGGGCCCGGTACCTATGTGAGTAGCTTCCTTCCAGCGTCGTAGTGCGCCCCAAAGCTCAAAACCAAATTAGGACACTAACGTTCTCTCAACAGGCCTCAATCCGTAGCGTGATCCTTAATTATGAGAAAGGCAATGTTGGCAGTGCGTTCAGCTGTGAGGACACCGGGTTGTAGTTGCCCGGAATACTATGCAGTTTATTTTGCTTTTCCAGTGCTTTAATGTTCTTAATCGCTGCTGTCGGTGACGTATGGACAGATATACTCCATAACCTCCGTCGTGAGCATACTAGCTAGAAGAAAGAGCCGATGGTTTGGAGAACGCATTTCTATCTGGGTTCCCGAACTAATTGTGGCTAGCACTGCTCAGTAGTGCGATAATATTAGATTGTTTTTAAAAATAGCTAGGAATGGCATACTCGATGTTTGAGAGCCGTAAATTCTTCAATCGTGGCGTCTGTTTTGCAGCATCAAACTGGCAACGCTGGTGGGTAGATTGATAAGATAACACCGGCAATAACCGCTGCTATCAGTGCTGACAAAGGCAGTCGACTCGACCGACAGCCGGTCCACGTGGGGAAGCGAACTTCGAAGGACAAGGCGGTCTTTTGCTGTGAAACGACGCTGCAACTTCATTGTCTGGCAGTCGTCTCTGTTCGCCATGAAGCCTGCCATGAGGAACTCCATTCTGAGAAGGGCCAATGCCCTCGGTTTGTCATCCCAGACCTGGAAAGCTTCAAGCTCATTCGGATGCGGCTCCCAACTGCGCTTCCATTGTGCTTCTCAGCGAGGAATTCATGACATCTCAGCCAGAACTTTCGCTTATCCCAGATCATTCATTGCCAATGCCGATCCCTCAGCCAGACTGGGCAAACGATTTGCCTCTTCCACTGCTTCGAAATCTGCGCTGAACAAGACGGAGCTATATGACCTGCATGTGGAACATAAGGCTAAAATGGTACCTTTTGCTGGGTATTCCATGCCATTGCAGTATGCGGACCAGAGCCACCTTGAAAGCCATCACTGGACAAGAACACATGCGAGTTTGTTTGATGTGAGCCACATGTAAGTCATACTCGTATTCACAGGCAACCCCAGTCTCTCAGCCTCTATCAATTGATGGATTGCTAAGTAATTACTACCGTCAACAGGGTCCAGCATCATCTCATTGGGCCTGGAGCGCGAGACCTTCTCATGAAAATCACTCCCTCATCCCTCGATAGCTTGAAAGATAACCATTCGACATTATCCTGTTTTCTGGAGCAGGAGACTGGCGGTATTGTCGACGATACTGTTATCACTCGTCTTGGGCCCGAGTCATTTTACTTCGTTACAAACGCTGGTAGACGGAAGGAGGATCTGGAGTTCTTGACGAATGAAATTGAAGCATTCAGGCAGACCCATGATCCGTCAACTCGTGCCTCTGTTATTCACTGGTCAATTTTGGATAATAGAGCGCTTTTGGCTTTGCAGGGGCCATCAAGTGCAGCTGTACTGCAATCACTTGTTACACAAGGAGAGGCGTCTGTGGAGGGAGATCTCACCACTCTCCACTTCGGTCAATGCCGACAATTACACCTAGACTTCCCTGATGGCTCTCATACACCTGCTCGCCTTTTGATCTCGCGAACTGGATACACCGGCGAAGACGGATTCGAAATTTCAATCCCCACGGACCATGACCCTCATCTTCCACGTCGTGTTGCCGAACTACTTCTTTCCAACCCTGAGGTTCGCCTTGCTGGGTTGGCGGCGCGTGATTCCCTCCGCCTCGAGGCCGGAATGTGTCTCTATGGACATGATATCACCACAAAACAGACACCCCCCGTGGCTGGATTAGGCTGGGTGGTTGGTAAAGATCGCCGAGACCCATCTTCACCGCTATCATCCTTCAATGGCTCCTCCGTGATCCTTCCACAGCTCGCCTCTCCTGCTAAAACATTAAAAGAACGACGGGTTGGCCTCACCATCGAAGCCGGTGCTCCTGCTCGCGAAGGTAGCCCTATCGTTGATATAAACAATCCTGATACGCATATCGGTATCATCACGTCCGGTTTGCCCAGTCCATCCCTAAACGGTACCAATATTGCAATGGGCTATATTAAACAAGGCCTACACAAGAAGGGGACCGAGGTTGGAGTTCTGGTTAGAAAGAAGCTGAGGAAGGCGACCGTTACTCCGATGCCGTGGGTTGAGACCAAATTCTATAGAGGTTAAAACTCATGAGAAGACTTCCTTTCTTCCTTTTCTATCGCCTTGTACTGTACATATAATGTACCCTTTCCAAGTTTTATATCCAGTGCGTTTGCTTGAAAGCGTGAGCGGTTGAATGACGGAGCACGATTCACTATTCCTGGTCTCAACACCCCCCTTACTCCTATAATCTTGACTTTGCAGAGGCAACGAGAAAAAGCAGTTCGGTAGCAGATATGTGAAATGATACCTTCTAAGCGCCGGATGTTATATGTGCTAAATCTGTTGTTCTCGACAAATACAGTTGCGTATAGAAGACAGAAAGACTGGGCATGAAATTCTATTCATAATAGAGGTATGGAAGGTCGAAGGGCTAGATCACTATGGATTGCGCTGGGGTACATTTTCGGGTTTGACAATTGCATCTAGAGTAAATATCTAACGCTTCTGAGTAGAACCACGGATCAAAACGCATATACCTACCAATAATAGTGTTCAATAGCTCTAAGAGCTCGTGTAAAAGGCGGAAAACGCACCTCTGAGGCTATATCACTTATGTTAATCCAGTGGCTGATGGCAGTAATTATAGCGTCACTTGTAATACCCGTCTTTCGGCAACAAAAAGGGTATACCCAACGCTACTGACACGCAGTCTTAACCTGATGAACATGTGTCGATAAGCATCGTCTCTGAATAAGCAGTTATTGCTCCCACGCTATTACGGCAAGCCCCGCCTTGGAGAACAGACTTCACGAGATTTCGTTTCCCTCTACCTTGGGTTGATGAGATCGAAGGCATTGGGACGGCACCATCAAGTGTAAATCGAGGCCATTGAAGAAAAGAAAAAGAGTGGAACGGTTAGACTTTCAGCCTGTGAAAGGTACGTTTGGTATCTAACCAGTTGGTAAATATTTAACGTGTGGTTTTAGGCAAAAGGCAGCAAACAAAATGTGGACGGCAATACCAGTGATGACAGTTATTCCTAAGTCGCACTATCCCGAGTCATTCTATATTGTACTATTGTGGATTGACAAGAGACAAGATGAAAGGGTTACTTTCTGTATTTCTAGAGTTAGCCGGCAGTGATGCCATAAGAAGATGCGATATTCCCTTCTAGCAATATTCCAAGCTGCCAGCCCAGTTGAGGGTAGACTAAGAACACCCAGGGCCCCAAGCAGCTACTTGAGTAGGGTTGTGGCATCCTAAAAGTAGAGAGGTTGTCACAGACTGAAGCTTGGGCGGAACAAATGCTATGGCGTACCTAAGAAGCTATCCTCTGGAAGCTGAAATGGTACTTATCTTCTAATTACCGGTATAAACCTATGTATCATGCTACATCTCTAGGCTCACTGGCTGTATGACGGTTGTAGGAATCATCGCTTTGGCTTTTGTGTCGGCAGAGAAGTTGTGTGCTGTGCCTCTGGTACGAAACCTCAACTTCCATCATGCCTTCGTCAAATGCAGTTAGAAACGGCAGGGGTCGCATAAAAGAAGGCAAACAGAGAAACACAGGAGAGGAGCCACAGGTTCGCATTTATATGCAAGAGTGCTTGGTATCCGGAGCAGGACCTTCGCAAACCCCGTGGCAGTCATCTTGGCGATCAGATAGCAGGGATAAAACGATAGCATGAAATGAAACCAAAGAAAGCTGCGATAATAATTATATAAGACCTCATACTATGGACATGGTTGAAATTGCAACTTGGACACCTATATGCACCATACGAAACATGTATTGGAAATTGTTTAGCATTCTTGGACACCGTACTCCGTAGGGTGTTGGAATAACGGTGGAATGCACGCATTCAAGACTCTTGTCGCGATCTTCTGGAAGTTCCCGCTTGACTGACCACAGCATAATGGTGGAAAGTAGATGTGTGCTCCCAGTCAAACAGCCAGACCAAAAGCCAGAGAGGCTCAAACACGGCGCCCCCAAGGTGGCTCGCAGCATTTCCAATTGAATACTACATTCCCTCACACCCACGCAATCAAGCAATCGATGGACTGATTAAGATTACTGCACTACCCTGGACCAGGATCATAGCAAAACATTCATGCGAGGTCCCCTCAATGCCCAGATTTGCAGTACGTGTGGAGCAAGGGACAACAAGGCCAGGTAGACGGCATCGATCTAGACTCTTTTGTTGGTAATCAATCCCACAACCGAAAGGGGAATCGCTTCGGCCCGATAAGGGGAGCAGATGCGAGCGACAGCCCCTCGTTTTCGCGCGGCAATGGACCGAAGCCGTATCATGCCCAGCAGGGATGATCTGAGCCATTCCCCAGATTCGTTTTGGCCTGTGATGAGACGTGCATGGATTGACGTTGGATTTGCGTTTCTTGGGTCTACGGATATTATATTAATCCGCCCCGAGCGCCGGACGAGGCACACCGACCAGAAACGGCCGGCTTGGCGGGATTTTGCCGTGGACTTACCGGTTTGCAATCACGTCATTTCATCCCATGCTGTGCTCAGATTGCAAATGTGAGAATAGGAGCTGTTGAAAGGGGGGGGATAAATTCATCCTTCACAATGGACTCTGTTTTCTTCCTGAGCATCAGGCGCTGATTTATATGCCCCGTACTCCGTATTTTTGGTTGCATTGTCTTGGTCGATCACCGAAACCCCCCTGTTGACACTTTCCCACCGTACCCCTGCTCAAACATCTTCAGTAACATCTCCTTGCAGTCAGGCCTGTCTCATTATCGCAAGGACTTCCGACTAAAAGGACGATCTTGCGGGACTTGCTGTAGTCGATTGTCAGGATTAAAAACCAGAGAGATACCCCTCAGAGCCAGCGTTCTTTCACCCATCACTCCATCTTTTCAAAAAATCAACCACAATGGCGACGTAAGTATCCCCGCAGTCATTAATGTTTTCCGCAATACGAAGACCTCAAGTAGACTCTATTCTTTTCCACTCCACGTAATTGCTCACTTCCCTCCAGGAACATCACATTCCACGCAGCTGCCTTTACCCGCGCTGAGCGCACCAAACTCCGAGGACAGCGTGGTCTCACCATCTGGCTTACCGGTCTTTCTGCCTCCGGCAAATCCACCGTCGCCGTCGACCTCGAACATTATCTCATTTCCGAGCGCGGGGTAGCAGCCTACCGCCTCGATGGAGACAACATCCGCTTCGGTCTCAACAAGGATCTCGGTTTCAGCGAATCAGACCGCAACGAGAACATCCGACGCATAGCAGAGGTCGCCAAGCTCTTTGCCGATAGCAGCACCATCGCCATCACATCGTTTATCTCTCCATACCGAAAGGACCGCGATACGGCGCGGGCTCTGCACGAAGCTCAGGCTGAAGGAGATGACAGCCTACCGTTCGTCGAAGTCTTCATTGACGTTCCCGTCGAGGTTGCCGAGCAGAGAGATCCAAAGGGCCTGTACAAGAAGGCCAGAGCTGGTGTGATCAAGGACTTCACCGGAATCAGCGCCCCATACGAAGAGCCATTGAAGCCGGAGGTCCATGTTCGCAATGTTGATATCCCCGTGAGACAAGCTGTGGAACAGATTGTCGCATACCTGGATGAGAAAGGCTACCTTCCACCCAAGCCTGAGCCAAAGAACTAAGCCTTTGTTTTTCCTTTATTTTGTCCTGTTATGATAGACACCTCTGTATAGAAATGCACGGCCAAAGGTTGACGACAATTATTTTTATTGCGTTCCCTGATTCCCACAATGATATATTAATCCCTAGGATTCAACACTGTAAGCAATGAGTACACGAAAGCCAATAAAGAGCTTAGCCCGCACAACAAAGAAAGAAAAAGCCAAAATCGAGGTATATAAGCATCCTCAACCATCTACTCAATCTCAAACTCATAATACACATAGGCAGTATACTCGGCGCCGCCTTCACCGCCAGCCAGATGCTGCATATCCGAATCATCCTTTCGGACGCGGCCCTTTTTGTCACGGATAAAAGCGTTTCCGCCTAGGTAGGAATATGAGTCGTCTAGAAGACCCTTTGCTTTTCGCGCATTCTTTGCAGTCGTCTAAAAATCCAGACATATTAGTTTCAACATAGTAATCCAAAGGATGATAACACGAATGACGACTCAAGGATGAGAGCGAAAAAGCGTGCCATACCTTGATCAGTGCGCAAACAAAATCCAGGGGCAACCCATATCTCAAAACCGTTTCAACAAATACCCTGAGGACGAGGACGTGCATCCAGGCCATAACGACTTCGCTCCACGCCGTTCTCCCGAGCCGCAACACCTCTCCCCACAATCTCTTGGAGTCGGCACCGACTTGTTCAACTTGCCTTCGCTCCTCCTCTTCCCCGCCTTCAACGTATTTATACTCTCTGGGTGTCCATTTATGTTCGCGGCATCTGTGAATGAATTCGAGACTATGCTTCTTAAACGTTGTCACACCGTATAGAGTGAACTCATTATCTGATGCAACGCGTGAGGCTGACCGAGGTACAACCATGGGTGATAACGTTTCATAGGAGCGAAGAAAATCCTTGGTGTCCCGTAAGGGGACAGCCACAAGATGTGTTTCTAGGTATTCGGAATTCTGAACGAGTTGGCGCGGGTCTACCACCCCTGTGAGCGATCTGGTGGCTAGATTTCCTCTGCATGCCCCATGAATCAGCTACGCATAATTTTCCCGTAAAGAATTCTCTGCGCACATACGTTTGTTTTCGTTGTAGTGTAGCTAGGCTCGACTTGACTTGATTATACTGCGTAAACTTGGCCCTTACATCGCTATCAATGCTCGCAGTTTCCTATAGGGTCGAGCAAACGTCAGCCTTAAGCGCTGAGGATCCTTCGGTTCAGGGCTATCTTACCTTTTGCAACAAATCGATCAGTTCGGACAATGGTTTATCAGCGCGGTACTTGACCTTGTTCCACGAGAAAGTCCGCAAGTACTGATCCACGGGCTCTGCGTACACACCGTTAGACACAACCACCCACCTCGAACCCAGGAGCCAACTTCCAGGTTCAAAGTAATCCGGAATCTCTCATACTATCATTAACCGTCCGCATCCGCGCTATTTGCTCCTCGTCGGGTTCGAGCACGCTCCTCAGCGCATCTCCAACTTTCCCCACGACAGCCCTACAGGCCGCCTCGACTCTTGACAACTCATCCGCCTGTTGCACCAGCGCATCTAGGGTGCCGATTTTGAATTCCGGAATTGGAAAAGGAATCACTGTCCCGTTATCTGGAGAGATTGTTTTTGTAATGGCCTCGAGGGCATCGTCGCGATGGTGGGATGGTACGATGGAGCTTGGGAGGGAAAGGAGGATGTATTTAGTCTGTTTAGACATGGCTCGAACCTAGGAGGGGAAATAAAAACAGGACGGAAGGAAATTATGATGGTATCACCTTAACACAAACATGGGGCGTCAACTGAGATGCTAAGATGTGATATGATCCTGATCCTGCCCAAGGCATGTACTTTTATACCTTCTTGCACTTTGCCCTCGGGCTGTCCAGAGCAAGCTGTTTGGGGTCGGAGCTGCGATGTGGTCGTTGCTTCCGCGTGATTGGTCGGTGGAGTTCCCCCCACACGTTTTGGGGCTCGCGCTGCGCTACGTAAGTGCAAAAGACGCTGAACACTAGGATGATGTTAAGAGATCTCGGTGAGCAGTCGATAAGAGGATGATTCCTCCTCTTAACAATGTTTGACTGTATAGAGGATATATCTATGCATGCATGCATGTGATGTATGTACTGTACATACATACAGACATGCAATAGTACATATATGCGGTACCGTGCATGGGCAAAAGGGACGTCTATTAAATGTACTATGTATGTAGCGCTCAGTACTCTGTATGGAGTACGAGAATCTATATCTTGATGTCGCTAGAATCCTGTCAATCCGTGCCACTGTTTTCCAAACTGGGCACCAACCTGTGTATGCACCTGTCCGGGGACCAAATACTCTCTATACTGGTATCCAAAACTAACTAGGTATTATCCACACACGCCGCTCAGTTTGAAATGCTAAACACGCTCCAAATTGAAACAGACTCTAACAATGCGATCTAGGATGAATGAAAGAGGTCACTCAGCGCGATACAAGCGGGGGAGAATCTATGTTCCCAGGTTAGCATAGAAATACACAAAACACTTAGTATAGAAAGACATACCGCTGCATTTTTTGGCTCCACAAACAAGGCTTTGGCTTCGACAAGGATAGTTGGGTCGCTTCCATCGTCTGGGAGTGTCTCAATCCAGCCCTCGACCCAAGCCTTTCTTCCCTCCACTTTCGTGGTCTTCGCCCGGAGAACAAAGTAGGATCCAGCAGCGGCTGGGCGACGGTAGTCGATATTCAGGTTCGCGGTAACGCCGATCTTATTTGGAAGGGACGGAAAACAACATCTAGCAAGTCCTTCGTCCAGCATGGTAGCTAGTAGCCCCCCGTGGACGATCCCGGGGTGTCCAGATACGTCGGCACCAAGGTAGAACATCGACACCATGCTCTTACCTCCCTCTTCATTCCATACATATGGCGGCACAACAATCTTGTTTGGCCCGGTCAGTGTTCCTCCTGTGAGGCTGTGTGATCTCATCTCCACTGGAATCTGTAGGTGTGGTCTTGACTCTTTAAAGAGTGGGTTTTCACGCATTGATTGCGTGAGCGGGTGTGAATTAATGTGCTCATCCACTTCTCTCGCAAACTCATCCTCTGCCTTATAGGGATCGGGCTTTGCCTCATCCGAGAGTATCTGAGTGACAGTGGAATGCATGCTGAATAGTTTTGAATTCGCTGTAGTTCCAATAACAAATGACAAAACTGCAATTGCAGAGAATCCTAATAGGCGGCGAAAAATGGACCTTTTCTTGAACGATGGAGGGCTAGGAGATGAGGGAAGTGTCTGACCTAGATATATCCCAAAAGTCAGCCAGCCGGAAAGAAAACAGAACACACGCAAGAACAGGCAATTACGTCCCCTCTGGGGCCGGGTAAGCACAGTTGCACTCACCAGAAGAATAGCATCTGTTGCTCCTTGGGCCAATGTGTTGAGAAGTGAAGCGAAGGAATAATGGACCCTGTTGAGCCAGCGCCACCGATAAAGGTGCGAGGTGCCCGGTGATCAAAAGAGTGGAAGCTGCGCCCCTCCGGACAACGAGATAAGGGCTCCGGAAGATCGTCATGATGGGCTTCTGGAGTGGGAGCCCACTCACGCACTTTCGCCCTTACCTTTGTGGCCAAAAGATCTCGACTCCTGTTGGGAGAATCCCGGGTCAGAGAGGAGCCTTCGATCCAGGAACAAAAATTCCAATGGTCCAACCGCAACCGTATTCGGGTTGGCCGCAGGATGCATACGATTTGATTGGCTCGCGATCTCTGAGCAGCGGAGTTGCCGAGGTTCAGCAAGTTGAGATCCCGTCCAGAGATGGACCGATAACTAATCCAGAAAGGCCAGCCAGCGCTCTTTGATTTGAAAAGGGGAAATACGCTGCCTAAAAGCATAGGGTTTACGAGGAGAGAAGCCAGTCGAATCTCGACGCTATACCTAAAGTCCCGACAACAACGGAGTAATTGCTAGCAGGAAAAGTATTCAGTTGTCCGACCTGCCGGGAAAACGGATGTCTAATTTGCTGTACTTTGTACTCCGTACGGAGTATGCTTTCCAAAAGACACAAAACATGATAGCTCAAGGATGAACTCAGCTAGGATATGTCTGCTTAATCTTTGTTCGTATAGAAAATAAGCCTGTTCATCTATTCACTCTTTGTTGACCCTGCTAAGGTTACCAGATGGACAAACAATGGAGAGTGTTTGTGGCTTGACGGTCGTCAAGTGATTCAAAATGCTACGAAAGGGCAATCCTCAGTGGCCAGTTGGCCGACTTGGTTAACTGCAGTGCAAAAGAGGGGCTGGCAGAAGGGTAATGCGTAGCTCTCCTATTTGATTGGCTGTCCAGTCACTAGGCTAGCTCAAGCTAAGATTGTGGGTTCGAGTCCCACGTCCCTCGCAAATTTCTTTTTTCTTTTTTTTTTTTTTTTGGTTATGTATAGCGTAGTACTTCCGTACCCTGTTGACATGACCCTCTCTGTGCGAAGGATAAAGAAATGTCATGGATAAGGGAATCTCGCTCAGTATGACAGTAGTCGCATTTCAAGGTTGCTTGCTATGTATATACATATTTCCATTACATACAGCGCTCCTCTCGGGTATAGAAAGGTGGAAAACAAACTCATCAACCGCACATTCATCATTCCCAACATTGGGCTGGAACTCGACAAGATGGTGCCCCGGGTCAACTAGTAGCTTATATATGCGCTCATGGGTCGTGTATCGAGCCCGGTAACGGTTGGCTGCTAGATATTACGAGTGCGAAAAGCTGATCACTTTCGCCGCGGCTTCCTCGAAGGAATCAAAAGCATGGAGCGGAAGTTTACTTTCGGCAATCTGCAATCAACATCCAAGTCGTCAGCATCAACTCAAACACAGGATGCACTTAGCAGGACGGGTGTGATGGAGGGCCCATTTACCATTTTCTGACCAAGTTCCTCATTCGTCCCACGCAACCGGACGACGACAGGCACTTTCATACCCAAATCTCGGAAGGCCATGATTATGCCCTCGGCGATCATCTCAGACCTAGTTAAGCCGCCGAATATGTTCACAAAAATGGCTTTGACTCGCGGGTCTGAGAGAATAATTTTAAACGCCGACTTTACTGTCTCTGAGGTGGCTTTGCCGCCTGTATCGAGGAAGTTTGCACAGTGTCCACCACGAATGGTGAGGGCATCGACGGTGTTCATAGCAAGTCCAGCTCCATTCACTGCAGGAAATATAAGCTGCTAATTACTTAAAACGTATCACGACTGATCTCCAGACTTACCGAGAGTACCAATTGTTCCTTCGCCTTCAAGCCTTGGGACACCGAACGTATTAGCCAAGTCGTCAGAACTGGGGCATGGTAAACTTACCTAACATAAACAATTCCATCCTTCTCGGCCTCCACTTCTTCTGGAACTTCTAGTTCCTTGTTCCTCAATTTATGGATATCCTCTTGCCTCTTTGCACTTCTATATGCAGCATCATCAAACCCAAATCGCGCTCCTTGGACTTCCAAAGCGCCAGCACTGGAAACAGCAACTTTCGTTTCCAGTGAGAAAGCTTCCTTGGTCATAAATATATCCGTTAACGCTTCCAGCAGCGTCGATAGCGATTTTTGGACAGGTTCGGCAAGCCCGACATGGGCAGCTATTGCCTGAATTTCAGCGCTATTAGCGGAGAATTCTCTCTTCCCATACTCAAATGGGAATTTCTTCGCAGATTCGATATATCTTTTTGCGTCTATGGTAGGAGAAGCAATAAAGCTTGGGGAATGTGCAGTCCGGTCAATTGAAACGCCCAGGAAAAAGGCACCCGGTTCGTTTGATTCACGAACAGGAATGTTCCTTTCCTTGAGAAGAACAAAGGAGTCGGATTGTTGAAGATAAAGACTTCGGCGCTGCGCGGAAATACTACTACTGCGGAGAATTTGGGGTCGTCTTAACGTATGGAAGCCTCGCTGCTGTCGGGCTATCCTCGGGGTAGAATCCTGCAGGTTTTCTCTGTGTAAGCGCTCAATGTCTTGGTTCCATGATACTTCAAAGCTTACTTCAAATACTGGTCGCTTAGCAGAGCTGCCCAGCAAGGTTTTCATGCCCTCCCCGAATTTCTCTGGGTGGTCTACAATTACAGCCCCGGCATCCTGCAACGCTTTGATTTTCATTTGTGCATCAGGCTCCCCTGGTGCCGTCCATGCGCCCGCGTGGCCCATGATTCGGCCGTGAGGAGCTTCGATGCCTCCAACCAAAGCCATAATGGGCCTATCTCGAGGGGTTAGTTTAGAAAACATCAATATCAGTTGGGGGCTCGTACTTGGGATTTGCAGTCCTTCTACGATAATCTTTGATCCATTCCGCAGCATCCATTTCAGCAGTACCGCCGATTTCTCCAACGATTATTATACCATGCGTATCATCGTCATGTTCAAAGACCTTTAGTGCATCCACAAAATCTGTTCCCGCGAGCACGTCGCCGCCCATCCCAATGCAAAGGCTCTGGCCTAAACCAGCCCTCGTTGTTGAGGCCACGGTCTCATAACTGAGAGTCCCTGACTTAGCAACGATGCCCACATGGCCGGACGAGAAACAGGGCAGTGGCTGGAACCCGATGCGACACTTTCCAATGGCGGAAATAATACCCGGGCAATTCGCACCAACGAGTCGAGTTTTCGATTGCGTTCGAAGTATGGAGTGAATCTACACATCTGTTACTCAAAAGGCACAACCCTCAAGGAGAGGATCTATAAACCAACCCTGAGTATGTCATGGATCGGTACGTGTTCTGCGACTGCGACCACCAGGGGTATTTCAGCTTCTATCGCCTCCTCAATGGCCGCCGCTGTTTGATTGCCAGGCACATAAACCGCGGTCGCATCCGGTCTCGCTTTTTCCTGTGCCTGTTCTCCCTCGAGCGGTAAGAATCCTTCCACTTCTCATGATAATTGCACTTATCCCCGACCTACCACTCGAACAGACGGGAATACAGGCAGTCCTAGATGCTCGCCTTCAACTCCGGGCTTAACTCCTCCTACAATCTTTGTACCCCATTGCAATGATTCTTTCACATTGGCAGTTGCCTATATTCAATTGCTTCAGCTGCCTTGTTCCACTCTCTTTAGAGCCGTCAAGCTCTGGGAGGAGGGCTTTTCTACCTGTTTACCTATTTGCAGCAATCAGTATACTCTTATTTAGATTCATGCATCCACACAAACCATCCTTTTATTTGGTTTTGGATATATTTCTTTAGAAAGGAGAGGTAGGTGTGCGTACCAGTGAATCCTTGGAATAATACCTTTGTGTCAGCACCGATTTTAAGATTTTTCAACGTATCTTCATAACTCTGAAGCCTTGAAGTAGTAGAAAAGGCTGCATTCGAGTTCTTTGCCGTAACAAACCGAGAACGGTAGCGATTTGTAGGTGTATGCAAACGAGAGGGTCTAATGGCGTTGAACCGAGGAGCCCCAGCCATTGCAAGGTCCAGCCGATGAGCCGAATGACAACACGGGCTTGACTTTCGCCCGTCACTCTTACAAGTCAAGAGAAAGACTTAAAAGGAATGCGAACGTCCAAGAACTAGGACGGTAACAACAGTTGACTTGCACTCCAGCATGTTCAGTGAGATGATTATATATTATATAGCCAACTACTTCGGCAATCCAAAATCGCTTGCGGCTAAACGAAGGACAGTTGAGCACGCTCAAGATTCCCGGGCCTTAACCTTGCGAACAGGTGGAGGCATTCTTCTCCACACTAATCCTCGCGATAACTCAGTGTGAGGGATGAAGACCAATCCCATGCCTGCATCCGAGACCTTTTGACGCCTCTTGGCCGACAGTTGACAAAGTACGTCTCTAAATAGCGTCTCGAAATCGGAGCTCTGGGTGAAACCTTCCCCCAAAGTTCGAGGAACAAGATTGCCGAGTCTCGGAATCTCCCGGTCAACGTCATTATGTTCGTTCCGAGGTAGTCTTTGACGAGTTAAGTTGGTGGAACTCCGAGACTTGAGCGGCCAGTGCACATGTTTCGAGACGCATCTACACACAAGAGGTGCCATGGAAACGGCCGACCGGGAGAGCTGCATAGGATATAAATAAGCGGGCGCTTGATTCCTCAGCCGTCGTCGAGATTTGAATGTTCACTACGATGGTTCCGTCCCGAGGAGCGTGATCTCAGGCTAGCTCCCCATCCAATTGTAGGCCCAGTCCAGAATAAAGAGTCTTACGTGCGGAGTAGTTACAGCAGCATCGTCGCATGAGTATCACCCCTCCTCCAGCCACGCTCTTCTGATTAGTCGGGCACATTCCGTAAGAGAGCTGCAAACTCCGGCTGCCTTTGACTCGCAGGGGAGTGAAACGTGAGTTAAATCCAAAGCCACACCCGTGAAAGTGTTCATTGGGCCCATTCGGACTGTAGTTACTTTGTGGTCAGGAGCGCATGCTAGACAATGATTCGGTAATAGCAGCAGAACTATCATAGGTCTTTAGCTGGGGCTTAAGACTAGGTCGCCTGGTTGGGAATCCACCTTGACCAGAGTGATGTTTCACAGAGCAAAAATGTTACCTGTATCCACGCAATGGTGGGGAGGTTGGAATCAACACTCCATCACTTTGTAACTATGATGCAAAAGTTCGACTACCATGTACCTGAAAACTGACGTCCACTGTTACCCAACGATATAGGAGCACCTACTTACTTCCCTAGAATTTCACGGCTACCAAGCTGGTTAATCGACTGCTGACGTTTGGCTACATTGTGGGCTGTCTGCAGTTGCTCTTTTTCTGAAGGATGGCTGCCGAAGGTAGTTCGACACTCCCCCATGATGCCATCGGAGCGCCTCCGAGACCATCTCTTCTCCGATCTAAATCCTAACAAGCAAACGAGAAAAAATAGGTTCTACGCTTAATTCCGGCGCAGCTCACCCCCAGAAACCTAAGCGCAAGTCGAAATCCAAGGTGGCGGACTCCTGGGAAGACGAGTCGGTGTCTTCAGAGCCTTCAGAGGACGAAAAGGATGAGAAGGCGACCAACGCCACGTCCTCGCCACAAGGACAGACGTATCATAGCGACGTCCCTTCCTTCGCGGCCTCATCGACACCCCAATGGAGCTCTCCGGATCCGCGCAACCCAGACTCAGACTCCCCGCGGAGACGACCAGAAAAGCAGGCTGCCGTCGCAAGTCGAATAATAAGCAGCGCTCTGGGTGTGCGCGCGAAGAGGACAGAGGAGCAGAAGGCTTATGATCGCGCCATGTTCGAGAACGAGAGGAGAAAACGCGAGCGCGAACGGGAGCTTGCGAGGCAGAGGCGCGAAGACGAGGAGAAAGCCAAACAGGCTGTTTGGGAGTCGTAAGAATAGCGTTTGCGACCCCGATCTGGCCGCCCGCCTTGACATACCCAATGCAGGGAAATGATTTCCACTTCCGGCCTTTGAGCGGGCCTTTTGCTAGGGGACTTTGGAATTACATGCTGGCAGCCGGTCGAAACATATGGAGACTTGGAAAAAGTGGTTGATGTAACTTGGATATCTACACTGTTGGATTTATAGCCATGGAGGAACTCAAGAACAGTTTTGGGGACACATTGAGATGATATAATTGATCTTGTTTATCCGAATCCCTCATGGTATTGTGTGCGTTGGAGGACTATGAATCGTGATAGTAAAGCGTTTCGTTACTCAAGTTCTCTCACTTTTCAAAATGTAGCCACCAAATCCGAACCCGTCCATAAGGAAGATTTGGATTCTGCAAACATGTGCGTCTCTCCAACGCAAATAAAATCGAAAAAGGACCCGCTTCTTAACTCCAGGAAAATCAGAAACAAGCAAGGTTCGACCAGAGAAATTTGTCGTCAAGTGTATTGGTACAAAATGTGGGCTTTTTCAAATGTAGTGGAAAGTAAAATAGAGGAACCTATGAATACATAAGTTTACGTTAGAAAGATCGCTCTAAGGGATGCGGAATAGTCGATCCGGAGATACGAACTTCATTATCGTAAAAGTGTTCTGGCCCATCAGCCACCAATCTGCTCTTGGTGCACTTCTAGAGTGTCACCATCTTGCATGTCGAGCTGCAGGCAGCCATTTAGTATCCCATAACAAGAATACGCGTAAAAAAGGACGTGTATTGCGGCTATGCTCGAATGCGGACTTACGGTGTCTGGGGAATCCTCTGGTCTAACCCTGGTGCCATCAAAGAGGAAGCGAACTGTTGTGAGCTGGCGGCCCTGCCGCTCACAAAAGGCGTCCATCAACTTTTTCAGCTGCGTAGTTCTCTTGATTTTGAAGAAAACTTCATTGTTGTTGTCCGTGACCTTGATATTCAGGTGTTGGGGGGCTTCATCGACCTGAGGATCCATTTTGAAGGGAAAATGGTATTAGTGGAGGATTATGAGTCGCGTATAGGACGCTGATAAAGCGGTTTCACGAAAATTAGATGGCAGATGTAGGATGCAATGATACGAGAGGAGAAGTGAGAAGACGCATCTTAAGTCGCCCCGCAGACAGCCTTATATAGGCGGCGACGGAAAAATTATTTTGCGGATGATGAAAAAGCCGACAGGCGTGATGTGTTGCTCATTTGCGGCGAAGAAGACATTGGAATGCTGCAAGGAGCCTCAGATAACAAAGAAATCTTATCGATTTGCTTATAATCATCAACGCAGGCACCATGGTAAGATTTCTGGCATCCATTGTAGGGCTTTTGAAAAGGGCACGGCTGACTGTGCGATGCGAAGAAACCCAAGCCAATACCTACTTCAAGTCAGCCATGTCATTCATTTGCGGTATGTACTCCGTAGTGCGCTTCTATCTCCTTCAAGGTTCCTTAGAGCGACTGCTGCTGACTTCTAGGTAGTGCGCTATACAAGGTGATGTTTTCTTTAGACTGCACTCCAAATGTCGCAAGCTAACTGCCTTGGTAGACTGCTTAACAAAAAATTCTTATCAGGAGGAAAGGTGTCGTGATCAGATTATTGCTCTGTATAAATGCTGCGATTTGTTTTATCAGGAGAATGGCCGTGACGCTAGGACTCCAAGCTGCCCCAGGCCAGACTTACTCAAGCTGAAACTCCAACAGTACGGATTGATGTAGTTGATGAGTTCCGAGATTGGCGAACGCAAGTTCCGGACGGATGATTTAGGAGCGTATGACCACACAATTTTCCCGGTGATATGATAGCATGAAGGAAGGGATGTTGTATATATTAATCTACACAGAACTCCGAAGTGTGTATTCCATACTGCAAAGCAAAGTTGCAGCACTAAGGACTGTCACAATGATATTTGTATCCCAGTTCATGACCCAAAAGTTCGGACAAGGACTTTTACTGACCACTGTGCTCGCTCTAAGGCGATCGTGAGCGCGCAAGAGGTTCTTAGGAACCTGAGCAGACATTAAATAACTCTGCACCGAGACTCTAATGATCACCTAAAATGACATTGAAATGAAGAAGAGGGAAAAGAAGAATTGCAGTGTCCGCGAGAAGAGATTTTATGGCGGTTGGCCATCAAGACACTAAACCTATTTGGGACTAGTGTCTGTTTTCCTGTCGCAGAGGTTGAAGCTCAGTTAATTTTGGAGAAACATAAGCTTCAGTGCAGAGGATGGATATGTTCAACTGCAATTGTTAACGCTGGGCTTGCGGGTTGTTTGCCATGGCGGCCTTTTCGCATTCTTTGAGGGATGGCCGAGACTCGGTGCTATCTAATGTAAGCCCCCAAACGGGCCCTATATGCTCCCGGACCTTTGCTGACAAGTTTCAGGGCTCGTCCATGATTCCTCACGACGCGGAAATCATCGAAATAGATGACGATAGCGATGGAGAGGTCCAGGATAAAGAGGTGCCTATGAACGAAGATGATGAAGAGATAAGCGAAGGGGACGAAGACGACGAGGAGGACGAAATGGAGGAAGAGGAAGATTATGACGAGGATGAGGACCACGAAATGAGGTTCGAAAATGGCGAAGAGGATGAAGCTGAGGAGGAAGAAAGTGTCAGAGATTACCACGAAAACGGAGAAGAAGCTGAAGAGCTTCCTAGTGAGTATGGCGGGACCAATGGGACTCACTCGATTGAAGAGCCGTATCCCAACTGGAAAGCCAGGATAGAAGGTTTGACATCCCCCCTTCTTCCCCTCCCCCCCGGGGGAGATCTGGATCTTGTCATTTTCTCATTAGCTGGTATCTGTAATTTATTAGGCCATACACCGCGATCTCCGGCATTTACTCCCTCGAATTTACTCAGCTCCGACATTAAGCAGACTCTACACCCACTGCAAGATATGGCCGAGCGCGTCCTCAAGCAAATCGAATCATTTGCGCATAACCTAGATCAGTTTCGACGACAGTCTCCTACCCCCCATGACCCTAGAGCATTTCGCGAAGCGTGCAAATTGGTCAAAACCTACCAATCTATAGCTGAAAACAATGCCCGCGACCTCTCGAAAGCCGACCGATCTCAAAAACCAAAGAGATCGACCCAAGAAGAAAAGGAAAGCGAGAATGTAGCGGACGAGGTCGAGGAACAGATAGCGCGCTGGCAGCGTGAGGCGGAGACTTGGGATTTACTATCCCAGCTCCTTTTGATCGCCGATCCCGAGACACGAGAGCGGGCAGAACAATGCCAAGAAACCGCTTTACAGTCTCTCCATAGGTACTCTTCCGACCAAGAAGTCTGGGAAAAATTCCTTGAAACCGATCTTTTTGCCCGTGAGTGTGTTATCGTCCTGCAATGGCTTGAGAAGACCGCAAGGTCGGCGAAGGGACGAGATTCTGTTGTCTCCGAATTGGACAAGGACACCGACCGTGACCAAGGGTTATGGGCTCATGGTTGGCTCTACACAAAAGAAACCATTAAAGGGGCAAAACGTTTACGATCTTGGCCCCAGCCGTTGGATCCAGAGGACTCTCGCGTGACGTCGTCACTGCTAGGATCAGAGCGGCAAGCACCTTTAATCACGCAACTGGACCCTGATGCAATTATTCGGCAGGGATTGGGGCTACAGAAACAGGATCAGGTTCATGAACAAGCAGCGTGGCTGACCTGTTGGAAGATGCTAAGGTCAGGCCGGAGTTGGAGTGAAATTCGGGCTTGGTCTCAAGAACGCCTTGAAAGCTGGAGAGCCATTAGCGTTTTTGGCGCTAGCTTGCACCCAAATTCAAAGTCTACTAGCCTCCCTGATACTGGCCTTTCCCGAATGATGAGCTGCCGGTCTCAGCAATCTTGGAAGTCTGCGTGTTCCGTTCTGGCTAGTGATCCCCATGTCGATAGATATGAAAGGGCCGTCTATGCGTTACTTTGTGGTGAAACCAAGCCAGCGTACGCGGTATGCCAGAGTTGGGATGATTTTCTTTACGTCTTCTACAACCATATGGTACTTAGCCGATACAGCGACTTTTGCAAGCAGTTTCTTCGGAAACTCGGTCTTCCCTCCAACACGAAGGTCCTTGTTAATATCGAACCTGCCAATCACGATGGCATCCGTTATTTTCTATCCAACATTAGAAAAGATGAGCGGTTTGCAGAGGAGTCAAAAAACTTCTACCGCCAGATTCAGGCAGCAATTTTAAGCCAGAATTACGATTACTTTTTTTATAACCACGCAATCGCGAAATCGAAGTACGTGGAGCATATCAACGGGCCGAGTTTATTACCATTGCGACCACCCCCTGGCATGACACAAGACCCTCTGTTAACTGCCCCTGACGATGAATCTTCGCTGCGCATTATTGCTCATCTATATTTACTGTTGAGCTTCGTTGGAATTTTCCGTGTTGAATCTCATCTCCTGGACCAGTATGGTCTTAATGTGATCAAATATGTGGAAGTTCTCCGAGAAAAAGATAAGATGGACCTGATACCTCTCTATGCATCTCTATTGCCGGAGACTATGGGTCAAGCCACCCTCGGGATAGTCCTGATCAATGTACTGGGCGAAGGCGAACGACAAGTTTTGCTACAGAGGATGAGAGCTTTCGGAATTAATGTTTCCGGTGTTTTGAGCTGCCAATGGCAGTGGGCTCTCGCTGGAACGGATATTGATGTTAAGAAACCTATCAAGATCGCGGGAAAATTTGTAACTGAACAAAAGCCTGGATCGATTTCTGCCCTGAACAAGGACATTATTGGTCGAGATGTGCCTCTAAGGCATGAACGATTAATCCGCTGTATGGAGTGGTACAGTTTTGTTGGCACTGAATGGCCAACTTTATGCGTGAACATCGCCTACCTGTACAAACGATTCCTCAGTAAGGCTAAATCACATGTGCTATTCGAAGGGCTACGACTAATGGTATATCTCGTTCCTAGGGCGTACGCAGCTCGCGACTGCGCGTGAGCTGTGGAAACGCATACAGTTCTCGCAAATCCCGGTTCCTCCAGAGTTCAACCTAATAGCTCTGAAAGTTGATGCCAATGCCGATTCTGACATCAATCAATCGGCCGATAATCGACCCGCCAGTCCCGTCAAAGCTGGTCGCTCAAAAAGTCCCCTCAAGTCAGCAGCTTATCATCGACAGCACCTTTCTTCGATGAGCTCAGGCAAGACAGTTGCTGAACAGTTATGTATACATGCACGGACCGTGGAAGACCTGGAATTACTCATCAGCACATTGGATGCCATGGAACGCTGGGGTAACCTTAGTGATGAGTACCTTGAGTGAGTTTCTAAGGGAATATATTCCCTGGAGGGAGCCATGTTATTGACTTTCTTACAGACTCTCCAATCCGGAGCGAAAAAGAGAATTCCAGCAAATGTTGCAGCAGGCCATCGACGACGTTACAGAGAACGTCAATCCTCTTTGTCAGGATTGGCTTTGTCGGCCATTAAATGGTAAGCATTGATAGATACTTCTCATATACAAGAAGGGATAAAGAGACTGACAGTTAATAGAGGAGGAAGCCGCCGAATTTGACTTGATACGGACTGCATACCTCCCGGAAATTATCCTCATGTATCACAATTCTCTTTATCTCGCTGGATGCACCATTGGTCGTGAAATTCTTGCCCAGTGCATGAGTCTTTCAATCGCGATTGCAGGGTCACAGACTCTAACTGAATGCTTTGTGTCGGCGGGCCGAATGCGCGAGCTAGCCCGCGCTTTGGCTATGTCTAGTATGGCTATTATGACCTTAAAGGACCCTAAATTAAAGAAGAAACTTCCGCGAAACGCAACGCTTGATATTTGGAAGATTAAGCCTATCGAGGAAGATGCTGTTGGTCTTACTCAACACTGGAAAAAGGGCTAGTTAGGCTGTGTCAAGAAATGGGATCTGGAATGTTCTGGGATTTGTTTTCTTTGTATAGCATTTTCTTTTCTAGGCCTTTGCTCTGGTATACTCTCGCGAACAATAATGTTTTTCTGGGAGATAGACAGCGGATTCGGCATGAAGGTGACAGTGGAAAACAACAATCATCGGGTATGGCGATCAGTTCCATTCTTCATGTGATACATTTACATTTGGGTACGGAGTACGGTGTACTCCCCGGGGAATCAAATGATGGTGCTTGGTGCACCCACTCCAAGGAGGCTGTGAATTTTGTGCAACAACCCTCAATGACATAAAAAGTAGTTTAAGTCCACCCCACTCAAATGTCAGAAATAGGGAGTTCAAACACCACTCCGTACAGTTGGTATCGACTCCGAAGCCGACGACATACGGAGTACGGAGTACGGAGTACTGGTAACTGGAATATGGGGTCGGCGCAAACGGCATAAAACAGCGCCTTCAGATGATAAGCACAACTTTCTCTGCGGCATGTAAATCAAGGAGCCAGTGGCTTGTCTGCAGATCTACGGAACAAGAAGTATTTTGCCCCATTTAGCAAAGCGACCTGCGCGACAAGCCTGAATTTCACATTTTGCCAGGCGCCAAAGACGGACGGGATCGATGTCTTGCAGAAGACGGGAGGAGTTCATACCTTTCCAACCTCAATTGGACATTTCCGGTAGTTACAGAGTCCTCCGTACAAAGCACACCGGACATATATTAGTTTTCTTGGCGATCGTCCGGGTGAATGTACCAGAGTCGAACAAACGCTAAGCTACCTGACTTCCCAATATTTGGGCATCTGATAGTGCAGTTGTTAATAGCCCTCTGTGCTGGCTTGCTGTTTCGAGATGCCTTGTACTGGGTCAACGAAGTGTGCGGTTGGTGATTGGAAACAGTTTCAGCTTGCGTTCGGACGGAGACAGCTTCCGTGAGCTCAACTTTGATTTTTGTTCCTTGGCGTTGCCTCTAACGCCCATTCAAGACTTGGCAGGGATCGGCATCAGTATTGCAACCAGCAGTCGGGGTTGTGCGTTGCCCACTCTCCATCTTATTTAAGTTTCCACTCGAAAGTCTGCCGAAAGTCGATTTTGCCGCCACGACGAACGGAACACCAATCATAGTTGGAGTGTGTTAAAAACCCACCAATACTCGGGGTTCTAGACAATTTCTCGCGGGTCGGGATTGAACGCCTTTGATGGGTCAAAGTTCCTCACGATGGAAGCTTAATGCCCGCTGCGACCAACCTTCGTTCGGGAACTGTGACGGTTGTCAGAAAGGCTATAACGCTGAAACAGCTGGGCCACCACCAAGGAGCTACCTTGTTTTACCATATTATCGACTTGTCTTCGGGCAAGGAAAGGCTTGGAGGATCGGACTTGGAATGCACGAATCATGTTCTAACGGGCCATCTTTGTGCTACCAAAGTCTTTTGCCCTCTTCCTTTTTTTTTTTTTTTCCCCTCCTTTCTTTGTCCCGGAAATGCCTTGTTTCTTGGGCATCCGCTTGGGCGGAACCGGGAGTATTGGCAGTGGCAGTGCAAGCGCGGTTCATTCATTTGTCGGATCGTCCTGCCAGGCAGCCAACCAACCACCCAGATTTTCTTGCACGTGTGGAGAGACAAGAGGGAAATTCTGAACGCCAGGCGTAGTGAAGGCGGAAAGCTGAGTGGTTTTGCAAGTTTTCTTTCGCGATGCTCCGTACTATCACATCTTGGGTGGATGCGCCCGGGCCTTGGTAGTAATAGGGGAAGCTGAGCGCCCTTGGCAACCACCATTCGAAATTGGATGCCCGCCTAGTGTGTTGGCCCAAGCAAATCTTTTGCCTGCGGTTTTCACCTGGATATAACAGTGAATCATGGCCTAGCTGTTAACGCAGCTTTGTGGGAAAGCTCCTTTATTGCCCCCTTTTCTCCCCCGAGGCGCCCAGCTCAAAGGAGTCGAAGGAGCAGTTAGCACACAAGACAGCAAAATGACAACACCGCTCAAAGAACGTAGAGAAAGCTATAGATGAGCACAAACGTGCATTATTTTTCTTGGAGCCAGTCTTCCTCGAAAAAGTGATATGCGGTAAGAACTTTGTGATGGTGTAGAATGATATCCATTGGCTGTGTTCGTTGTTTGGGCCCCTGAGGCGGTCATCATCCCTGAGGCTAGGATTAGCCTTTTCGTTTGAACAATCATTCTCTGGGCATGCCTTTCCACCCGCAAAACTTCCAGTCCCGCCTCTCTTCCTCGCCCAGATCAAGCATGTATCAGTTGTCACTCTCAAACAGGGTTTGAGATAACCCCGATTGAGCTGCGGAGCCCTCAACACCATCCTCGTCCAAGCTAGTGACGCCTTCCCGCCAGATCGCCTCCGTGCGGTCTACACTTCCTCCCAACCCCCATTGACTGTCCGCGGTCTTCGTTTGAAGCATTGGATCGACTTGAGTGTCAGTGTTTCCCCCAGGCCCACTGTTCTGCATCCAAGCCTCGATCTCTGCCTTTTGATCGGGGGATTTCAGCTTCTGGTTGTAGCGGTGAACGCTAACATAGCTCCCCAATCCAGAGTACTTAGGCCCCCTCCAAACGACGTCCATCTCAAGGGCAGTCCATATCCTTACATTCACGAGCCTTTTACCGTCGAGCTTTGTGCACTTAGCAATGCTACACACCCAAGATTCTAACCGATAATTGCGAGTTTCCAGAGGCTACAGCCTAGTTCACTCCTATTCGTCTTTTACTGTGTGGCACGTTGAATGCGAGGGTGGAGAACTGAACTATTGCAATCATGTCGAATAGAGCTGAGCCAGACACACCTCATTCTCCGAGCCCTCTACGACGTGAACGAGCTCCAACGATCACAATCGATACTTCCGCGGTCAATTCCACACAAGCCTCAAATCAGGAAGAAGGGAGAGGGTCATCGAGCGAAAGCACACGGCCCGGTTCGAGCTCGTTGGCTGCTGGGCAACTGATCCCGTCAATTTCACCGACTGAACTACGACCCAGTCCTTCTCTCGAAGGACGAGAATATCGGGAGAGTAGGCCGACTTCACCCCATAACGTCTCGTCACCGACTTCGAAATGGATTGATTCCACCAGCTCGAATTTCCTGGCCGTTCCTGGAGCGCGGTCTAGAGGAAATTCATTGGATTCGGAAGATGCTGTGAATTCGTCTAGTTTGTATGGTGGGGATACTGTCGCTCTGTCTTCGTCTGCAACGGACACGCCGATAAAAGGGTCCCCGGAGATAGAAGATATTACAAAGGTCAAGGATGCGCTCGCACCGGATCCCGGTACTGAAGCCGATTTTGAGGTAGAAAACAACAAATTTGCTTTCTCACCGGGGCAGTTGAACAAGATGTTGAACCCGAAAAGTCTGGCTGCATTCTACGCTCTCGGAGGGCTTGCTGGAATTGAACAAGGCTTAAGAACCAACCGCGATACTGGTCTCAGTTTTGATGAGAGTTTGCTGGATGGAACCGTGAGCTTTGAGGAGGTAACACGCCAAGGTGGCTCCCCGAATTTGAAGCCCAACTCTCATTCACCACCTCCGAGAGTGGATACAGCCCATGCGGAGTCCGTAAGCAAGAGCAGCGGTGCCTTCCTCGACCGAAAACGCATCTTTAGTGACAATCGATTGCCGGCCAAGAAAACGAAGTCTATTTTGGAACTTGCGTGGATTGCATACAACGATAAAGTCCTGATCCTACTCTCTGTCGCTGCAGTGATATCTCTTGCATTAGGTATCTATGAAGCAGTGACAGCCAAACCGGGAGAGCCAAGAGTCCAGTGGGTGGAAGGGGTTGCTATTATGGTTGCTATCTTAGTGGTCGTCGTTGTCGGGGCGTTGAATGACTGGAAGAAGGAACAACAGTTCGTGAAACTCAATAAGAAAAAGGAGGATAGGAAAGTCAAGGTCATACGTTCCGGAAAGTCTGTTGAGATATCCGTGTTTGATGTCTTGGCTGGTGATGTGATGCATCTTGAACCTGGAGATCTTGTTCCGGTGGACGGTATCTTCATTGAGGGGCACAATGTGAAATGCGACGAATCTTCTGCCACCGGTGAATCGGACCTTTTACGAAAAGTTCCTGGCGACGAGGTTTACCGGGCAATTGACAACCATGAGTCTCTCAAAAAGTTGGATCCATTCATCCTATCCGGCTCTAAAGTCTCAGAAGGAGTTGGTACGTTTCTGGTTACGGCAACAGGTGTTAATTCCTCTCATGGCAAAACATTACTTTCGTTACAGGAAGAGGGCCAAACAACTCCACTGCAGTCAAAGCTCAATATACTAGCAGAGTATATCGCCAAATTGGGCCTTGCTGCAGGATTGTTGCTATTCGTCGTGCTATTCATCAAGTTTCTGGTACGTCTACGGGGAATTGAGGGCGGCTCAACGGAAAAGGGCCAGGCTTTTCTTCGAATCTTCATCGTTGCAGTCACCGTTATCGTTGTTGCTGTGCCTGAAGGCTTACCTCTTGCCGTTACATTGGCCCTCGCCTTCGCAACCACCCGAATGTTGAAAGATAATAACTTGGTGAGACTGTTAAGAGCATGTGAAACCATGGGCAATGCTACAACTATTTGTTCCGATAAAACTGGCACACTTACCCAAAACAAGATGACTGTTGTTGCTGGCACCTTTGGCACTGCTTCTCGATTCGGCGACAATGTTGCTGCTGCATCTAGTGGACCTGATCAGTCAGAAAACAGTCAAGGAACCGCAGACTCCAGTGAAGTCCCGCCGGCTGAATGCATTAAAACATTGTCATCAAACGTGAAGAATGTTCTGAAGCAGAGCATCGCATTGAACTCCACGGCGTTCGAAGCGGAGGAGGACGGCGAAATCACTTTCGTGGGCTCTAAAACGGAAACGGCATTGCTAGGGTTTGCACGCGATTACCTAGGATTAGGCTCTCTGAATGAAGAAAGGTCCAATTCTGAGGTGGTACAGCTTGTTCCATTTGATTCTGGTCGGAAATGTATGGCCACGGTTATCAAACTCCAGAACGGAAAGTATCGAATGCTGGTGAAAGGCGCCTCTGAAATCCTTATCTCCAAATGTTCAAGGATACTGAGGGATCCCACGGCCGATCTTTCTGATATTGCTCTCTCAGAAAAACACCGTTCAACTCTCAACAGCATGGTCATGCATTATGCATCGCAGTCCCTCCGTACTATCGGATTGGTATACAACGATTATGAACAATGGCCCCCCCGCGGAGTTCCAACCCAAGAGGACGATCGTCGACTTGCTTCTTTTGACGCTGTCTTCAAAGACCTCGTTTTCTTGGGTGTTGTCGGCATTCAAGACCCGCTTCGCCCTGGCGTGGCTGCATCCGTCCGGCAGTGTCAGAAAGCCGGTGTCTTTGTACGAATGGTTACCGGAGATAATATTATAACTGCGAAAGCAATTGCGCAATCGTGTGGGATTTTCACCGCTGGTGGAATTGCTATGGAGGGTCCTAAATTTCGAAAGTTGAGTTCTTATCAGATGAACCAGATCATTCCAAGATTGCAGGTTCTTGCGCGATCAAGCCCGGAAGATAAGCGAATTTTGGTATCTCGACTCCAAAAGCTCGGTGAAACGGTGGCAGTAACCGGTGATGGCACCAATGATGCCCCTGCTTTGAAAGGAGCTGATGTGGGATTTTCGATGGGTATTGCTGGAACTGAGGTTGCAAAAGAGGCGTCGGCCATCATTCTCATGGATGACAACTTTAATTCTATCGTTAAGGCAATGGCTTGGGGTCGAACCGTCAACGACGCTGTTAAGAAGTTTCTGCAGGTGAGTCGGCATTCAGGGCAGCAGCCGGTTTGGCTATCCACATTTCTGATTTGTCCATCTAGTTCCAAATTACTGTGAACATCACTGCGGTCTTTTTGACGTTCATCTCGTCTGTCGCCAGTAACGAAGAATCTTCTGTACTTACCGCCGTTCAGCTCTTATGGGTCAACCTCATCATGGACACCTTTGCTGCATTAGCTCTTGGTAAGTAACACTTCATTTGCGTGGGAGTTTCCTATAATACTGATCATATCCTAGCAACGGATCCGCCGCCGGATACTATTCTTGACCGCAAACCGGAGCCGAAATCGGCGCCTCTAATTACTCCGACAATGTGGAAAATGATCATAGGCCAGTCGATATATCAGCTAGTCGTGACCCTTATCCTCAACTTCGCGGGCAAAAACATTCTTAATTACGGCCATTCCAAGGAAGACGAAGCACGATTCCGTGCTCTAATTTTCAATACGTTCGTTTGGATGCAAATTTTCAACCAATACAAGTGAGACACCTTTTGCTCTTTCTTGTATATTCAGAAGGCTAACATTGACTAAATTGAAGCTCCCGGCGTATTGACAACCAAATCAATATTTTTGAAGGATTACTCAGTAACAAATGGTTCATTGCTATTCAGTTTATCATCACAGGAGGTCAGGTTCTGATCATTTTCGTGGGTCGCACCGCGTTCGCTGTCCGTCCCCTCAATGGAACGGAGTGGGGTGTTTCCGTGATTCTCGGTCTCATATCGCTACCTGTTGCGATCATCATTAGACTGATACCAGATGAGTTCCTCCGCAAACTGATACCCCGTTTCTGGTCCCGGAAACCTCGCAGTCCTCGAGTGTTTGTCTCTGATGAGGATCAACGATATGAATGGAACCCGGCATTGGAAGAGATCCGTGATCAGCTACAATTCTTGAAAACGGTGCGAGGTGGAAGACTCAACCATCTTAAGTATAAGCTTCAGCACCCAGAGACGTTGCTTCCTCGGTCGCGAAGTGGTTCAAGGTCCCGAGACCATTCGGTTCCTCCAACTCCACAAGGCGATAATGAAACTGAGGTCAACGGTCGCGTCCCATCAACGCCAGATTCACGCATGAGGAACCGTGGTCGCTCGAGATCAAATTCTGCATTTGGTCCTGCTGCTGCTATGGCAGGTATAGTTGCGGGAAGTATTGCAGGCTGGTCTCCTGTTGAAAGAGCCGGGGGTGAAAATGATTCGATTAAATTTTCACGGTCGGGTCCCGGGGCCCTCGATCAGCAGGAAGGTATTGAAATACATCCTGACACTCGGGATGACGACCCCGTTGTCAGCGATTATTCTACAACCAGCAAGATACCTCCAAGCCAGAATCCGGATTTAGTTCCAGACTTCATGCACGCATCCTCTTCTAATCTACAGCAACCTCGCCGGTCAAATTCCCGCCAATCTGCCTCTAGGCATTCGGCGACGTCGTCTGCTGGAAACCAACCAAAGATATAAGTCTTGTGGGCGTGCGGTTGGTATACGCCACTCGATTCTTTTTTTGTTTTTTTTTTTCTATTTTTCTTCGCTTCTTCTCCTTACTCATAGATTTCTACCACCTTGGGCCTCATAATCGATGCCTCCTACCATACTGTTTTATTAATGGTTGGCTGATGTTGAGTTTTATCTGACTTTATCATGGCTTATTGCTCTGCGAATTGGTGTTCTAGACTAATCTTTTATGGCCTCTGGCTGGAGTTCGGACTGCTTTTTATATCCGCTGTCGGGTCCCTCTCTCCGTCTTCCCTTTCCCAATCATACAATTTGATCCGCCTTCTTTTTATTTCTTTGCCTCTATCTTTGCCTCGTGTCAATGGCGAAATGGTGAGTTGTTGAATCCCACAGATATCCCAATTCACTCATCTTTTTCTTTTTTTTCAAATCCACTTCTTTCATTCATGGTGTCAGGTTGGAAGGTCAGGCTGGGGACTCGTGTGTGTTTTCTCTTGAACCGCCTGCTCTCATTTTCTTCTATTTGTTCTAAGATACATACATATTCCCTCTACAGAGTCCGCTCGCATGTGCTATTAATTCCTTTACCTTTTCGTTTACTACTTATCAGTTCAATTACCTCTGTAAATATGACCGGGTTCTATACTTTTGTAAATGACTACTGATCTATAACTTATTCTCTTCATTCTTGGGCTTGACAGATCGAATAATTCTACTGGAATCTTGCGACTGCTTTTTGCCTCACCGAAAATAAGGCATATCAGCTACCAGGCCATTGGACCTGCTGTGAAGAGGTGCACCTCTTGTCTAGGCTATGATGGTTAGTGCTTAAACACTCCATCTGGTGACCAGCGCCGGTCACACAACCCATACCCAAAAAGCCAGAAAAAAAAAAAAAAAAAAAAAAAAAAAAAAGAGTTTTTCATCCGCTCGGCTGGAGTCGAACCAGCGACAACCCGGTAACAAAGAGCACTTTACAGCCGGGTGCCATAACCAACTAGACCACGAGCGGTTAGCGTCCAAATAAGGTTTTGAATCTTAGCTCAATGAAGGGGCAATTTTTTTGTGATCAGGCGCTGCTACCAAGATGATAGTTAATACAAGTCCCATCGGGGTTTGTTGACATGAACGAAGTGAGCGGACTCAGCCGCAGTCCTTGGCTTCAAGTCGAATGACAGCTCTGGAAGTCAAAGCTGTAATGGAATTCGCGCTTCCATTAATCCAGAAAGTTTTTGACCTGTTACAAGAAGAGCGAGAGCGGAGGAGTCGAGTGGTCGGTCTTAACTACGGAGGATGGAGTAGCAGCTCTGCATATGTATTTTGGCTCTAGTGGTGTCTATGTAGTACGAAGTGAAGATCTTGAAAATGAAAAGGAATATATCGCAGAAACATGACATCTTAGTTTACCAAGTGGTACTTTGCGTCCAACCACATTATGTATTCACATGTGTTTTGGGTCGAAGCTTGTCGCGATGTGAGTGGATGAACCTTGGCTTGATTAGAATAAAGTTCCCGAGTACCGAGCCTTGACGCCTGGCCCGCTCGATTCACAGGAAGCTGCCCATTTTATCAACATCCATATGGTTGCCCAGTCATATACAAATTGACAGCCCTAAGCCTCCAAACAAAGGTCTTGCGTCACCAAACTTGGAGCCTCGAACGCTTAGCCGGCGCGTCCAGACTACCTCTTTAACTCAAAGCCATTTTTCAACAGCCACGTTTCTTATATGAAAACTGATGCTTCATAGCTACATCCACAACAACGCTTGTCTCCGCCGATGACAATATGAGTTTCTCATACCTTGCTCAAGAGGGGAGAAACGTCCTCTCAACGCTCACCCATGGAGCTGTTGGACCAACCCTCGTTCCGGCGTACCTGCTGCTGGTCTCCGCACTGCGATACAGGAGAATAAAGCAGATGCAGAAAGAGTTTAACTACCCTACAAGGGAGTCTTTGGCAAACATGACAGATGACGATGCGTGGAAGATTCTGCTTATCATCGGCCAGCTGGAGTTTCCTTTTACATACCTCAAAGCTTTGCAGTTTGCTTTATTTAGAGTAAAGCAACCATATCTACTTGGCATGTCAAACGGCTCTAGACGCACCAGCTAACATATTCTTGTGACATATACTTGCAGACTTATGGCATCCCTACTATATCTGGCCTTCTCACGAAAACTTCTGAATTCTCGAAGCAACAAACTGCGATGAAGCGCTATGCAGATACATCCGTCTTGATTGCCGAATTTGTGGGCAACCCGCCATCCTCTTCCCGAAGCCGCGAAGGTATCGCCCGCATGAACTACATTCACTCTGTATATCGCAAATCCGGCAAGATCCTCGATGACGACATGCTCTACACCCTCAGTCTCTTTGCGCTCGAGCCCGCCCGATGGATCGACCGACACGAATGGCGCAAACTAACCGACTTGGAGAAGTGCGCGCTGGGGACGTTCTGGAAGTCAGTTGGGGATGCAATGGAGATTGACTACGGGAAACTACCATCTTCCAAGGAGGGATTTAAAGACGGGCTACAATGGCTTGATGAAATCCGTGAATGGAGCGAAGCATACGAGAAGAAACATATGGTTCCCCACGAATATAACAATCGGACTGCCGAAGAAACGGTTACGATCCTGCTTTGGACCGTTCCGCGTATACTCCGGCCCTTGGGGCGGAAGATGGTGTATTTTCTGATGGATGGCCGTCTGCGCACTGCTATGATGTATATTGCTCCGTTTTCTTTTGTCGATACTTCTTCCTTGCCCCCTTCTTTCTTTTTAATTATCTTTTTATTTTTTATTTTTATTTTTTATTTTTTTTTTCCTTCTCTCTCTCCGCGTCAATTGGCACTCTGACAGTTTTGCACGGACTAGGTACGAGCGCCCAGGCTGGATCTACCGTTTTATATTTTCGAAGATCTTCACTGTTCGAAAGCTCCTCCTGCGCTATTTTGCCCTTCCCCGCCCAGACCTTTTCAAAGTGAGGCGGATCACCACCGACCCATCCGAGAAACCCCCTCATGCTCTCCTCACGTGGGAGGGTGCACCTTTCTATGTCAAGCCAACATTATGGAACCGCTGGGGACCGTCCGCTTGGGTCAAGAGGCTGCTCCAGCTGCCTCTGCCTGGAGACGGAGGCGACACGTATTTTCCTAACGGCTATTACACACCTGACGTTGGACCCCGTGCGTTTGTGGGGAAAGGGCGTGATCATTACGAGCAGACGACGGCGCGATTGAAGACTGAGCGAAGGGGCCAGTGTCCGTTTGGCGTGGCGAAATAAGTTCTAGTGGGAGGAGAGTAGCATAGTAGTGGCAAATGGGAGAGACCACGAATCATCGATGTAACGGGGCAGGGATGATGGGATCTCTGCGAGTTTATCTACATATGTATGTATGGAGTACGTACGGAGTACAGGGAAGGGTATTCAACCTTCCTCGATGTTCCAGATCCCCCAGCCGGAGGGAGGATCCGAGGCCGTACGGAGTACGGAGTACCCTGCAGGCGATTAGAGAACAGAATCAACAGTCAGATAATGAGAGCAATACTCCCAAAACTCCGCCGTCTGCACCGCGTAACAGTCGCCAGTTAGCCACTATTTTTCGCATTGCCAACGCAACCGGAGTTGGTTGGACAGGCCGGTCTCGGTGCGTCGGCCGCCAGTCGGCTTCCAGGGATATCCAGCAATAGCAGCACCGGCTTATGTCACCAGGGCATAGCGGCCCCACTTTTCCTGCAGCTTCCCCACAGTTTCTTCTTTCGTCACTCGGTCTGGCCGCTTGTGGGACCGAGCATTTCCGGTGGTATCCAGGGCTATCCTGCTAAGCTCGCAGCCAGCTGTTTCTGGCTTGGACGAGTACTTTCGCCCATTGAAAAGGCACCGCTTGGGGATCAAGAACAACTCCCCGGCACAACCTCAACGCCCTTCCCCCTGTCATTGCCTTTCCCCTCCCTCCATCCCGCCAGAAAAGAAAACAAGATGATGCGTCTCGGCGCGAGGCACCTTGCCCGTCATGTGGCAGCACCAAGAGCCACCATATATCAAAGTCAGAGGTCCATAGCACCCCTCGCTTCGTCGTCAGTTCACCACCGCTTCATTGCTACGACTGCTCCAACCATGGCGAATCTTGCTGCTTTCAAACCCCCGGCCATTCAGAATGAGCCAAATGTAGGTCCTGTCACTCTTGGGGGGGGTTTGGCGTCACGCTCGACGCTGAGATAACACTTTTGTTGTGACGGCAGGATGGCTAACCATTGTTCCTTTACCGTAATCTAGCTGCACTACGCCAAAGGCTCTCCAGACAGAGAGAAGCTCCAACGAGCAATCAAAGAGTTCAAAGGAAAAGTTCCTGTCGAAGTACCCGTTGTGATTGGCGGCAAATCCGTAAGTTTGGCTGCCCCGGGATCACTTTGTCTCATTTTCTTTTCCCAAAGGAATCTGACCTGGAATGTTTCTTCCAATTAGATCAAAACCGCGTCTGTCGGTACACAGCACAATCCCTCTGATCATGCTCAAGTAGTAGCAAAGTATCACAATGCCACCCAAGAAGACGTCAAAGCCGCCATCGCTTCTGCATTGGAGGCAAAAAAGAGCTGGGAGACTCTTCCCTTTGCCGATCGGGCAGCGGTCTTCTTGAAGGCTGCTGAATTGATTAGTGGCAAGTATCGATATGAGATGATGGCTGCGACGATGGTAGGCCAGGGAAAGAACGCATGGCAAGCAGAAATTGACGCCGCTGCGGAGACGTGTGATTTCTTCAGGTCCGCATTCCCCATAGCTCCCTTCTTGCAAGCCAAGCTTTTCGATCCTAATAGGCTTCAGGTTCAATGTGCATTATGCTTCTGAATTATATGCCCAACAGCCAGCTCACAATGCTACTGGTGTCTGGAAGTGAGCACTCTCTCCCTTTGGGTTGTGTCTTACCACTAGCGACTAACTTGCGAATAGCCGAGTGGAGTACCGTCCATTGGAAGGTTTCGTTTATGCTATTTCTCCATTCAACTTCACTGCGATCGGTGGAAATCTTGCTGCAGCCCCAGCTCTCATGGGAAATACCGTCATCTGGAAGCCATCTCCATATGCCGTTGCCGCCAATTACTTGACTTACAACATTCTCGTCGAGGCCGGTCTTCCTCCAGGCGTTATCCAGTTCGTTCCTGGTGATGCTGAGATGGTCACTCGTACCATACTGGACCACCCAGACTTTGCTGCCTTGCACTTCACAGGGAGCACCGCAGTTTTCCGTTCCCTGTACGGAAAGATATCCCAGGGTGTCGCAGATGGCAAGTATAAGGGTTACCCACGTATTGTAGGCGAAACTGGTGGCAAGAACTTCCATCTCATCCACCCCAGCGCCGATATCCAAAATGCAGCCCTGAATACCGTTCGCGGTGCTTTTGAATTCCAAGGCCAGAAATGTAGCGCCTGCTCCCGTGCCTACGTTCCAGCGTCGAAGTGGGATGAATTCCGTACTAGCCTCGTCTCTGAAGTTGAAAAGCTCAAGATAGGCGGCCCGGAGGATTTCACCAACTTCATCGGTCCCGTCATTCACGAACCTTCCTTCGCCAAGCTGTCTAAGGTCATCGACAACGCCAAATCCGATAAATCACTCACTCTCCTTGCCGGCGGCAAATACGACAAATCTAAGGGTTATTTCATCAATCCGACTATTTATTCCACCACAGATATCAACCATCCCCTCCTCTCCACAGAACTTTTCGGCCCCGTTCTCGCCATCGTCGTCTATGACGACGCCGCCCCCAATGCTTTCGAGTCTGTTTGCAAGACGATCGATAGCACTGGCCAATATGGCCTAACTGGCGCGGTCTTTGCCCAGGATCGCCAGGCAGTCCGCTATGCTGAAAACAACCTGCGTGCCACTGCCGGAAACTTCTACATCAACTGCAAGTGCACCGGCGCTGTGGTCGGCCAGCAGCCATTCGGTGGATCGAGAGCGTCTGGAACCAACGACAAGGCGGGAAGCCAGGCTCTCCTGGGCAGATTCGTGAGCATGCGGTCTATCAAGGAGGAATTCGTTCCTATCAACAGCGTCTTGTATCCTAGCAACGAGTAAATGGGAGGGAGGGGCGCGAGTCAAAAATGGGGAAGGTTTGGGCGTTGTCATTACCAGCACCTTTATTGTCGAGCAGGTACTTTGATTTGAAATCTAGCGTTATTTTCCATATATCCCATTTCGAAACCTACCTTGTCTCTCTGAATTTAGCTAGACGCATGAAATCTGGGTATTAGTTCGGGAAAGGGCAATGAGTGGCATGATCTAAACGCACCCCTTCTTCTGTATCAATGTCGCTCTAACATCATGAATGTCCCATGGAATATGTTCATCGACCCACTCCGATGACGACGGCCCTGCCGTGGCCTCAACTTCAATTTCTCGGTAGTCCTCCCTGGTGTTGCAATGCCTCAAGCCGGCTCCGTGAAATATGTTTGGAGCATGATCAACAGGGCCCTTTTCTCACGCATGGTATGAACATGGGCCAGATAGCACTAGTGACGACAAAGATAAAGATGGGTAAAACGGGACTTCAATGTCAATATTGAAAAGGCAGAATTGAAAAACCTTCGGGGCTAGGTTGCACGTTGAATTAATATTTTGTATGGTTACGCCTGCATGATTTGAAAAGTACAAGTAGCTGTGTTAGTCACTCATCTGGTGCATTAAATTTACGGTGAAAATCCCATGCTTTTCTTCAACGGCCAATTAATGAGTATCAAAAAAGAGGAAAGTAGTTATCGCTCAAATTAATGTTGGTTGATACTAACATCAGGCTTGAAAATCACGCACAGGGGTATATGTTGTGCTGTTTACTCCTCTCCCTCCAAGATTTCCTCCTCGACACTGATGGAAAGTTAGCACTAATTAAACTAATGGCAACTAAGGTTCTGTGGGACTTACTACTCCTCCTCACCCTCCGAGATGCTGGCATCCTGGTACTGTTGGTATTCACTGACCAAGTCGTTCATGTTACTCTCGGCCTCAGTGAACTCCATCTCGTCCATACCCTCACCAGTGTACCAATGCAAGAAAGCCTTGCGACGGAACATAGCAGTGAATTGGTCACCAACACGCTTGAAGAGCTCCTGGATGGAGGTAGAGTTTCCAATAAAGGTGGAAGCCATTGGGAGGCCACGTGGAGGAATAGAGCAAAGAGCGGTCTGGATGTTGTTGGGAATCCATTCAACAAAGTATGTGTGGTTCTTGTTCTGCACGTTGCGCATCTGATCCTCAACTTCTTTCATGGAGACCTTGCCACGGCTTGAAAGTATGTTAGAGAAGATCAACAGCGGAGGACAAAGTGCGCGGAACTTACAAGATCGCGGAGCAAGTAAGGTAGCGGCCATTACGGAAATCAGATGCAGCCATCATGTTCTTAGGATCGTACATCTGCTGGGTCAATTCCGGGACGGTGATGGCACGGAAAGAGTAGGCACCGCGGCTGGTAAGAGGAGCGAAGCCAACCATGAAGAAGTGGAGACGAGGGAACGGAACCATGTTAACAGCCAGTTTACGGAGATCAGAGTTGAGTTGGCCAGGGAAACGAAGACAGGTTGTAACGCCAGACATGACAGCGGAGACCAGATGGTTAAGGTCACCATAGGATGGATTGGCAAGCTTGAGAGTCCTCATGCAGATGTCGTAAAGAGCCTGGACCCAGTCAGATTCTGAAAAGACAATCATCGCCCACACTGATATGTTTGCCTTACCTCATTGTCAATACAGAAGGTTTCATCTGAATGTTCAACCAATTGGTGAACAGAGAGGGTTGCGTTGTATGGTTCAACAACAGTATCTGAGACCTTTGGGGATGGGACAACGGAGAAAGTGGCCATCATACGGTCTGGGAACTCCTCTCGAATCTTTGAGATCAACAAGGTACCCATACCGGCACCAGTACCACCACCGAGGGAGTGAGTGATCTGGAAACCTTGGAGGCAGTCGCAGCCTTCGGCCTCACGACGGACAACATCAATGACCTGGTCAACCAGTTCAGCACCCTCAGTGTAGTGGCCCTTTGCCCAGTTGTTTCCGGCACCGGATTGACCGAAAACAAAGTTATCGGGACGGAAAAGCTGGCCAAAGGGGCCGGCGCGAACGGCATCCATGGTACCGGGTTCAAGATCGACGAGAACGGCGCGAGGAACGTATTTCCTGCCAGCGGCCTATAGAAAATTATTTAGCCGAAAGTGCTCGCTGGACGAAGTTGGAAGAGTAATGTTACCTCGTTGAAGTAGACGTTCATACGCTCGAGCTGAAGGTCAGAAGACCCAGCATACCTATATCTGTGTTAAACATCTCTAATTCGCGTGTTATGTGATTGTGGGCAACGCACATGCCGGAGCTATCGAGGCCATGTTCGCCAGAAATGATTTGCCTAAAAAGGACACACATGTAAGCTACAGCGTAAATGCAGGTTGTGCGATGGCCGGGTAGCTGAGCTTACCAGAAAGCGGCACCAATTTGGTTACCCTACGTGCAGAGGTTGGGTCAGATATCAACACTCCCAATCCAAAGGATTCGATCGAAGCTATTTTCAAAACTTACACACTGGCCAGTTTGGAGATGAACCTAAAGATATGAGAGAAGGTTAAGTTAGCAATGGCGTTGAGTTGAAAATAATTTCAGGGATCTTGAGTATTCGGTGCAGGGACTGGCGGGGTTTGTAGGATGAAGGAGACCTTGCTTGACAAAAGCAAAGCGTGTTATGATATGAGAATCGACTTACAATTTCACGCATTTTGGACTGAGTTTAGATCCGAGAGAGGTCTGATGAAAGATGCGAGGGTGTAGGCGGTGGTTGAAGCAGAAGCACACTGGGAGACTGCGAGAATGTCGTTGGGTAGGAAGAAAAGAACGGCGGTGAGGTTGAAAAAAAAGGGGAGGTGGAAGAAGGTACGCCTAAAGGGCCAAAGCTAAGCCGGTCTGAGTTACGATTGTTTACATTGTTTGTGTGGCAGGCACCGCGAATCCAGTGAAGAGCGGGCGTTTGGTGGGTCGATTATGTAACTATGTCAACAATCCGTATCCGGTTTAGCGCCCTCCGACGCTCTTGGAGGCTTTTGATGGGCATCCTTTGGTAGAAGCTCTTTCAGGCAGCCGAAGCAATCTGTCCAGTTACATATACATAATGCGCTGAATTTGCCCTCTCAACAGACTATGAAGTGGTTGCCTCGGGCTCTGCCTTCTTGTTTTCAATCCACGATCCGAACTCCTCCAGCCGTTTAGCCTCTTCATCATCATTGCCAACTTCCCAACCTGCACCGTCATCTTCATAGTCATGGCCCTTCGTGCTCGACTTTTTGAATCGCTCCCGCCCGTCAGCAATGTACGCTTCGACTTGAGTACCGCCAAAGAATCGGCCATGCATCATCTAGATGGTGAGATTAGATTGATCCAGTGCTATCATTTCGCTACAGCGATCAACAAAGGCGGGGATACGCACCCGCACGCATGCTTGCGCGGCATCGGGATCCTTAAACCTGACTGTCACAACTCCAGATTCTTCTTTATCGTACATCACCACATTGGTAACCTCTCCTAGCTTCGAGCATTCATCTCGGATATCCTCCTTAATGTCAAGGATTGCGGCCGGATCTTCCTTTTATTATGGTTGTCGAGTCAGTGAACCATCAAAACTAACGGCACTCCCTTCCCTCATATATCAAAGGGAAAGAAAGAAGAGAACTGTAATAACTCACCTCAAGCTCCTGGAGCGTAAACATGTGCTTAAGTATCACAACCTTCTCCCATCGTCCTGATGGCTGAGTAGCTGCATCTTCTTCGTCCCAATCCGCAAGTTTACTAACGACAAGCATCTTAGCGTCAAGGTAAGGAAATTGAAGGATGTGCTGAAGGGCTGAAACAGCACGGCACCATACTTCTTAAGCTTCTGGGTCTTTCTAATAATCTTTGCCTTGTCTCTCGCGTTTGGTTTCTCGGGCGCTTCTTGTTGTGCTTTGAATGAAAAGTCCGCTTGCTGGACTTTCATTTTCCCTTGCGGGCCGGGTTCGCCGAATCGGAAATCTGAATCGTCAAGCATCTGAATCGCAAGATTGACGGATTCGGGCCGGAAATATACCACCAGCGCATCTCCCTTAAAATTTCCGTTCTCGTCTGTATACATCTTTATACGCGGTCGATGGCTATCAATTTCTTCGGCGATGACCCCGCATTTGCAAAAAACATCATTTATCTCATCGACGGTCGCATCTAAGGGAATTGAAGTGACATATACTGCAGTGTTCGTACGGGGCTTTTTGGCTTTGTGCGTATTATTGCCGGCTCCCTAGATTAGAAGTAAGACCAAGGAGTTAGACAATACTTTGATCTGGTGAGGTGGCGCATGGCAGACAATGGACTTACGTCGTCGTTCTGCTTCCGCTTCTTCCTTTGTTGCTTAACGGCTGGCTCGTTCTCATCCACGCCTTTAACCTTGTACGCTTCTCTCTGTTGCTCGACAAGAGAGTCATCCAGCTATGCATTCGTCCAGCGGCCGTAAAAAGGGGTCCAAGCAGTTAGAATCATGATCCGTCCAGCTCGTGGTAACTATGAAAGCATTGAACCCACACACATGGAGAGAGAGCACACGCGAAATGTGGAAGAGGCATAGGAGTGTTTGCCCAGGGCCCCAATTGGTGTACTCATCTCTCCATGGAGAAAAGGCGCTTCATAGCGACACGGGGGAGTTCAAGGACATGCGGAGGCAAAAGTGGAGTAGTTACCCAAGGTATCCATCTCTTTAAGACCGTATCGTATGAATATTCTTCACCATCTTCCGTTTCCAGAATGAATTTATTATCAAGTTTCGAAAAAGAGATTCGGGGATCGCTGTCAAACTGCGAAGGATCGGTTGGAAAGCTCGGGCGGTGGGCACTCTCAGCAGTGAGGCTTGGTGGCTCGTCCATATTTTGGTATTTATCAAAGGGATTTCGTGAAGCGAATGGGATAGCAATATTGCAATTTCATATGGATAGGGCACAGATCGGAACAATGAACATTGAATTGAGTTAAAGAGGGTTCAGCGGTGAGGCGACAATCCTAAGCTCAAGCATCTGGAGCTTCCAAGGTCTTGATCGGGTCATTTGCTCTTATGGTCAGCTTGCTGATAGCTAACTTCGAGCCGCTTTTACCGTGATTAGTCACCTAGTTCCTTGCTCGTGGTCGGCCATCAGTTACAAATCGCCATTTAAGACACGAAAGTCAAACAGAAGCAAAGTCGAAAAGGCAATATATGGAAGGATGATTTTAATGTCCAGATCCTCTAGGCGTGATTGAGCATGGATAAGGGAGTCTTCTTCTCTCACTTGCACCAGCCACGGCAAAAGAAATATCTTCATTGTATAAACTTTACGGAATACTCCGTACAGGGTACAAAATTGGTGATTGTTCTCGTAAACAGGTGACTGGCGGGGAATATCGATACGGATGACGGGAACTGTGGAGGATGAGTGGGCTGAGATGAGGAGAGTGATAAATAGCAGCAAGCCTGTCGCACTACGGAGTGGTTAACTTCTAGATGAGAGATAACTACCTAGACCTCACAAGAATCCACTGGCTTGAGGAGGAAAACCGACTCTCTTCGTTCCTTATTTCGTTCCAACGTACGGAGTACGGGACGTCCTTTTCCGGGAATTCATAGTCAACTTATGTCTTACCTGGCTAAAGTACTCCATAAATATTAATAGATACATATCGAAAAAAATCAATCTTTTACTAATTCTCCATCAGGACTCCTTTCCAGACCCATGTCTTTTTGTCGAATTAACCGAGTCATCGTCGGATTTGGGCTCAGACTTGTCCGTCTCAAATCCACTGCTTACGTCTCGTGCAATCTCCACGTAGTCATACTAAAGAGATTGTCAGTATGACGAACAGCCATGTCATCTTTGTTTATGAAACTTACTGCAAACTCCCCAATTTCTGCGTCATCGACTCCCATGATCTCATCCTTTTCACTCGCGCGAAGGTGTAGACCGGGGATCAAGTTGATCAGAAATAGAATGATACAACTTCCGATGAAGGAATAGGCTGCCCCAGTCACAGAGTCTGCGAGCTGGTAAGCGAGCTGAATATAGTGCTTATTGAGCCAACCTCCATCGATGTAGGTGGCACCATCGAGCCTTGCGATATAGTCCCTGAGATCCAGTTAATGCATGAAGGGAAAGAAACTATATTTGGACGAGCCGCCGTTTCACTTACGCTGCGAATAAACCCGTGAGTAAATTTCCGACAATTCCTCCGACTCCATGAACGGCAAAAATATCCAAAGAGTCGTCAATGCGCATCAGATACTTCAATTTCGTGGCATAGTTGCATGCAGTCGCCCCGACTAACCCGAATATCACAGCCGCCCATGGCGGGACGTATCCCGATCCAGGGGTAATTGCCACAAGACCTGATATTACCCCGGAGGAGAAACCCACTGCAGAGAATTTCCCGTCCAGGCGATAATCTAAGAGGCACCATGTAACACCACCAACGGCGGCAGCCAAATTGGTCACAATGCCTGCCATTACCGCTCGCAAGTTTGCACTCAACGCAGAGCCGCAGTTAAACCCAAACCATCCGAACCACAGAAACACCGTTCCAATGACAACGTGAGTGACGTTGTGTGGACGATGATTGAAGTCGCTGGTACCTTGCCCTCGTCTCTTCCCGAGCATGAGGGAATACGCGAGGGCAGCGGCACCGGAAGCGATATGCACGGGAGTTCCACCAGCAAAATCGAGTGCTCCCATTTTATATATCCAACCAGAGGAGTTCCATGTCCAGCACGCAAGAGGATCGTATATAATTGTGGTCCAAATGAACATAAAGACGATGCATGGAGCCATTCGACCACGTTCTGCAACAGCTCCCACTGCCAATGCAACTCTAGATTATAACGCATTGTGAATATTTGAATCCTCTCCAAAACTAGCAGGCTCAACTTACGTGATTGCCGCAAACATCCCTTGGTATAAAGCAAACAGTATATCCGGGATCTTTGAGCTTTCAACGGAGGGCTGAGCAAGAACACCCTTGAAACCAAAGTTCTCAAGGTTACCGATGTAGGCTCCAGCAGAATGGGAAAACGCGAGAGAATAGCCCCAGAAAAACCACTGGAACGAGACAACTCCAAGTGACATAACGGATAGCCATATCAGCGAAAGCGCGGACTTTCTGCGAGCAAGCCCAGAATAGAAGAATCTGCGATACCATTAGGACGAGAAAATTGGACATAAACTCAAGAAATGCAGGAAAGGACATCGTACCCAACACCAGGAATCATTAGCAGTACTAAGGCTGCACATGTAATGATCCATGTAATATCACCTGCCTAAAGGAAGCAATTTATAAGTGGGTGCCGTGTTTGGACAAAGCTCACATTAACGCACGTTGTAGAACACATTGAGGTCAACTTCCATCGAGTTTCCCCCAGTAGCAATGCTCCCGTTATAGGGCACTAGCACTGTATAGTTCAAAGTGCTCAGGTCTGGCAACTCTGACATGGCTGTGGGTCTCTTTCGGTTCGTTATTGCCCGGGGGTCTTTGCAATATGCAAAAAAGTCTCTGTTATACGGCCTAGTTCGTTTCTAAGAAAGCCCGATGTCGAGAATGCATGGGAGAGACTTCGGTATGAACATGTACCAAGATTAAAAACCTTGACTGTCAAGGCCAGCGGGCACATATATACCCGGGGCTATGAGCCACATTGTCGACCTCGCTCCCGAATTCATCCTACGCCTATGGCAACTCCGCTGAATAGCAACAAAGTGGACTATTCTTATCATCAGACGATAGACAATGGGAAGATGAGACATCCATATACTCATGGAGACAGAGTGTGGGAGTGCCGGGTGTTTTCCCGGGGCAATGTTCAGCCCCGATAGTTATCGTTGTTGCGAAATAGCCTTGACGAGGAGCTTTTGTCCATTCCAACGGGAGTGGGATTTTTACCTAACTCAAAGATCTTATCAGCTCCCCGATTAGGCAGTGCTTGGCTAACAATGTTTTTCGACGGTAGCGTCTTTCTTTCAAGTGAGCTCGTGTTCTCCCAGCCTTATCTTGCGCTGTGGGTTTATCTGGAGTTGCGCTTGGGAGTTTTGCTGATGGTCAGATAGAGAAAGGCCCAGCCAATCAGGCTCAGGATGCGCGACAACCCAAGATAGCAAAGCGTGGCGACCAATCAGGACAACCATCTCCGCGAGGTATTCCGAGGAGTCATCCGTCGAGCTTCCACAGACCGCGGCGGGTTTTCTGGCAAGTTCAAAACCCGCAGCTGGGGATTTTAGGTGTCAACTCCCTGGTTCACCAATTCTGTGATGGCAGATATCACTTCTTTCGGGTCAACATTCGCCTCAAGTCGACCCGCCAGAAGCCTTGTTTCAATTTCGCTCATTCTTTTAACGAGCGTTCTTCCTCGGCACTAAAGTCAAGATGTATGTCTAGGACATACATACATGCGGACGATGCTAACATTGGAGGATTACATGTTCCACTTTGGAGGTTGCATGGAGCATAACGAGAGACAAAATAAGGAATGAGGCGATTCATTCCCCAAAGTAGTGAGAATTTGCCCACCTTGTACAGTTTATCCCGTATAAAATATAAAATCTTTTCACCGCACTCCGTATGGGGTACATAGGATCGAATTTCTCAAGGGGGCATTGTGCAATCGATATATGCCTCGTCTCGTCGAACCGACCAGTAGGTATTTTTGATTTCGTGAAATTATCGTTTAATCGTTCTCTTATTCCTGAAAAAAGGTCCTGCCTTGGTCAAACTGCTGGCTGAAATGGGTATTTCAGCCATGAGGAGTTCCAATGTAACTCCTCTGGACCTGTTAGACACGCGCTGGAGCGGGTTATTCCGTAAAGTTTCATTGGGAATAATAATTCTCAAATGTCTCAATTGTAGGCAACCAATAACCTAAGTTCGGACGAAACCTAATTGCTGTGATCATTTTGTATGCTCTGCTGAGAAATAGGGAGAAACCAATCCAACTGCTAGGGCTGTAGAAGCGTTCTAGTTAGTCAACCGTGCCAGCAATTGGGGGGGCTGTCATCATCAAACAGGATAGTTAGTCAACTATATCACTGTCTTTGTGGGATATGTTCATGGTTAAATTGCTGATTTAGGATTCAGGGGGTCTGTACTCCGTACAGAGAATGAGGTCTGTCTACACACGGAGAGTAGCGCTTCTTCTTCACACAAAGCCACGCCCACAATAGGATTCTCCAATACGGCGCGGAAAAGGCCATTCAGCAAGGTTGTGGCGGCGAACGCTGCACGCCAGGCTCGGCAGAGGCTAGTCCTGATTCAGTTGGCCTGCTCGTAGGAAAACCCAAAAACTCCACATGATCGTGGCACCTTGTAAACTAGAGGACCCCATGAACAGAGAGTCCAGACTCGCTGCCAATACATAAATGCGGCGATGACCCTGCTTCAAATCTACGGACTATGGAACGTCGGAGACATTCCCTACACGGCTCGGACTCTTCGACACCCACCGACTTCTATCCTCTCCACCCTCCATTCGTGCTCCCTGGACAGGAAGATTTCGAAGTCGATATCCGGGACGCGGATGACCAGCACGACACGCCCTTGGTCACCTCCTCGGGAGCCACTGTGAGCCAAGTGAGCTCGGGCTATCGCAACTCTCCAGTTCTCGCGCCACCTGCAATATATCCCCAATGGACGCCAGAAATCCCCAGGCACTCTCGAAGTGGTAGTGCGGGAGCTTCTGCCGCCACCTTCGAGAGACATACCCCTTCCGACATGTCTGATCGAGAGCTGAGACCGCAGCGGCCGAGTGGTCCAGCCAGAACGCCATCTAATACATATGCTCCCCCACGCAGACCTCCCCAGTTCTCTACTCATTCGAGTAGCCAGCTTTCATACTCGGCAAAACGACCTTCCCGGCGTGACCCCAATGCCCAGTACCGCGCCCAAGAAAAGGCGTATGTCCAAAGAGTAAGACAAGGACCGCCAAACGAATGGCTCAATTTTGGTTCTCAGATTCCGGGCGTGCCTGATATTGATCTGGATCTCGAAGACGAGTCGCCATCGTCCGAGCCTTTCGACAGCGACCCTTACGACGTCGAGGCGCACTTGGTACTGGAGGATGAGAACATACAACCCACTTTGGAAGAACTGCAAAACCCAAAAATCCGGGAAAAATTGGAATGGCACTCTATGTTGGCATCCGTCTTAAAGGGAGACGTCGTTAAGCAGGAGAAGCGGCGACTATTTGGGACTGGCGAGCCTAAAAGCCTAACTGATATTAACGATGAAATCTGGCTTGGAATTCGGGCAAGGTCCTGCGGCCGGCTAGAAGCACTGCAGAAAAAGATCATCGAACACGAGAGGGCTCAAGTAGGCCCTATCCTAGAAGAAATTATTTCGTTCAAGATCAAAGGCGAAACGGAAATCGGTAAACCTCCCGTGAAACAGGTGGAAGGTATTGTTGCAAAGATCGAGAAAGTCGAAAGCCTGTACTCAGTCATGCGCGAGCTCAAGGCTCACCATAAGCGTGCTGACTCTGAGGAGTTTACCGCGAGCTGCGATGCCATCATCTCATGGCATAATACGACGCAGCTTATTAACACTCAGTTTGCTATCCTTCAACGATGGGTCGGCAATGAGGAATTAAATTTTAATTTACCTATCACCAAGCCTTCCCATGCTGCTGATCTCGCAGATGAAGGGTCTTTCCTTGATCGTATCATGAAGGAGGATGGCTTAAAATCTTTGCAGGGAGACGGCAATGTGGTGGATGGAAACGGCCAGACTAGAAAAAACAGTATGTTGGATGGGATTGGCGAAGTTATCAAGAAAGCAAAGGCCACCCTGATTGAGAACTCCGAAGCATTTGTGGAGCGACACCTGCCTCCATACATCGAAGAATTGCTCATCTTGATTAGTTTTCCTTCTCGCCTCATCGTGGAAGTCATTCGTGTTCGGCTTTCCTATGCCAAGAAAATGAAGGACCCTGGACAGCAGTCTCCTATGTTGCTTGACCAGATGATTGCACAATTTCAGATTTTAATGAAAATTGCTGTTGAAATTAAGCAGCGATACCTTGTTATCTCTGAACCGGAGCCTGGATGGGAGCTTCCTCCATGTTTTGAGGAGAGTTTTGATACTGTTGTTGTTGACGCGTTGAAATACTACTTTAAGCTCTTGAATTGGAAGCTGAGCGCGAACAAGAATACTTTCAAAGAAGCGGAAATTTTGGAGCAGGAATGGGACTTTTCCAACGAGATTGGCCGCCAGTTTGAGGGAGGGGATATCGAAGTTGCTGAACAATTTAGGTATGTCAGCTGACCCCTTGGATCCATATCGATCAAAGCTAAAGCAGGTTTTTAAGCACCCTAACTGCGAAGGCTCTTCAGCGATTGATGCTTCATTTTGAGCGGGAACTTCTCGGTAAACCGGAAGGGGATGCCGTTGAATCAGAAAAGCGCTATAAGCAAATTTTGGACTCCGTCCGAGTACGCCAACGAAAACTATTCCGATTTTCCCGATTCCTTCGTGAACGGTTTGAGAATGCAACCGAGTTCCACCTAAAGGATGATATCGTAGAGACTTTTTCGGAGGCTCTACTGGCATCAGGCCATTTCCTTGTTACGTCGCTCGATTCTGTCGGGCAGAAGGGTGTGTCTCTGATTGCATCACCTTCTTTATATGGGCGTCCCAAAGATATTCAATCAATCCTTGGAACTTCATTCCGTGCTGAAGATGTCCCAGAGGATCCGTCAAACCCATATATCCTTGTCATTCGTCCTGAGAAACCTTTCCCTTGGAGCGGGAAGAGGATGGAAGTCGACCTTTTGGAGCATCCAACGGACGTGCGATTGGGCAAGTTGCGTTTAGTGGCTGATGGCTCTCAAAAGCGTCTCCAAAGTGCCCGGGCCGAGCTCACTCGACTAACAGGCTTGGAATTCGACGTCACAGTGGAACAGCGGGCGAATTTGGGTCGAGTAAATGTCGAATTGAACAAGATTAAGAAAACCGCATGGAAGCTTTCAAATACGATCATTGATAGCGTGGAAATCATTCGAAAACAAAATCAGGGAGCCGGCAATCAGGAACTGATTCAGTCCTGCTTTGCTTTCGCCACTGAGTTCGGCAAAAGATCTTTGATGTACTTGGAGCCTACCCGTCGGTCAATGAATCACGGTAAACTAGTAAGACTGGGGGTTGATTGGGTTGCGTTTGTTTGTGACGACTGTGACGCTGCAGATCGAAGGACCTTCAAATGGGCTGTTGCAGCTCTCGAGTTTGCCATGGCCATAACGCATGGACATAGCATTCTCTCATTGAGCGATGAAGACTACCAGTTGTTACGTGCCAAAGTTGCAGGCTGCATGTCAACGCTGATATCACACTTTGATATTATGGGAGCACGGTCGACTCTAGCTGCGAAAGCGGAAAAATTACAGCTTCTATCCGGGAAACTGGACCTCAGCAAGGCCATGGACGATGCTGAGGCGGAGCAGGCTGTACACGAACAGCGATACTTGCGTGTAGCGGAGTTGGAACAGGCAAGGGCGGAATTGGACAGTAAGAGGCGGCCGCTGGGCAGAGTCCTAGAAGGTGTGAATGAAGCGGATCGATCTCTCACAGTGCTTTCTTCGTCGGCCACGAACGTCACCCTCCGGTGGCAGCAAGGCCAATTTATTGGCGGAGGTACCTCCGGTTCAGTCTACGCTGCTATCGATCTCGATACAAGTTATTTGATGGCTGTGAAAGAAATTAAACTTCAAGAGCCGTCTGTTATTCCTGGTGTCGCCCAACAGATTCGGGACGAGATGGCTGTTCTTGAGGTTCTTGACCATCCTAACATTGTTTCCTATCGCGGTATTGAGGTTCATCGTGATAAGGTTTATATATTCATGGAATACTGCTCTGGTGGATCTATGGCCACGCTCCTTGAACATGGCCGAATTGAGGATGAAACCGTTATCATGGTTTATGCACTTCAAATGTTGGAGGGTCTTGCTTATCTGCACCAAGCGGGAATTGTCCACCGGGACATCAAACCTGCTAACATTCTCCTGGACCATAATGGGGTCATTAAATATGTTGATTTCGGGGCGGCCATGATAATTGCCCGCCAAGGCAAGACTCTAGCTGCTATGGATCAATATGGAGGAAATCACAAAGATGCTACGAAAGAGCCCCACGCCCAACGCAAGAATCAAAAATCTGTCACGGGCACTCCTATGTATATGTCTCCGGAACTCGTCCGTGGAGAGGTTGGGCATGCAGGGGGCCGGCATGGCTCCATGGACATATGGTCTCTCGGCTGCGTCATTCTAGAGATGGCCACCGGGTTACGTCCATGGGCGGGTATCGACAATGAATGGGCGATCATGTACAAGATTGCACAAGGAAATCAGCCTCATCTTCCGACCCCAGACCAATTAAGCGAGCTGGGCATCGATTTTATTAAACGTTGTTTTGAGCTTGATCCCGCCAAGAGGCCCAGCGCGGTAGAACTGTTGCAGCATGAATGGATTGTTACCATTCGACGCCAGGTTGTTGCTGAGCCGCCAACCCCAAGCAGCGAGGTTGCAAATAGCCAGACGTCTAGTTCGACGAGCAGCAGACAAAATTCAAGCATGTTTTGATTTAGATCCTTGTTTGATGTTGCTACCCGTTATATACCTCTTTGGGGAAGATTTACTATCAGATCTTTGACTCTCGGTACTCCACTTGCTCAGCACAAAATATCCCATGAGCGAAATTATATTTTTGTTTGCTATTTTATACCACAAAAATGCAGCCAAATACTCCATATCCCTCTTCCCTCATTCCTCTTCAATTCCGCATCCGTGTATATGCCTTTTGCTTTTCCGACGATTGTTCCTATCTATCTTTAAACTGGGTCATCTTTATTTGCTAGTCACGGTACATTGCGTTCCATTTCTTGATATTCCATGACTTTTTAATATTTGCATGTGTATAATCCGTACGCGGAGCTCTCTGTTTTTCTTTAGCACAATGCGCTGATGGGACTTTAACAATGCACACTTCTCTGTGACCATTGTATGGCAACTGACCACTGCATTGATATCCATTTGTCCTTTTTCGGGTTCTAGATATAACATTTGACATGACAGATATGAATGTAAAGAAGTTTGAAGTGTGACTTATATCTACATTTTTGGTGGTATTGTACAGAAATGCCCGGGAGCCAAAGCTAAAGCTGCACAATGAGAGATTTCAGCCTAATTTTGAAGAACTGACCAAAGCTTATTAACCATGTAAGAGAATAAAATCCAAGTTAGAAGGTTTTATGAAAGACTATATGTGGTGCTTTCAATAAGCAATAGAGCTAAGAGTGGAAAAATGAGACACAAACGGGGGTCCAGCGTACTCAACAATGCAGGAAAGAAGGAACACCAATTCCCCAAGCAATTATTTACCTGCAAGTAAAACAAAAAGGCATGATCAACTGAGATTGAACATCAACCGGGAACGAATAAGTCAGATCAAAAAAAAACCAGAGGCCAGTGGATTGACTGAAAAGAAACGACATGGATATCATCAAGGGAAACAAAGTGTTAGAGAAAATGATCTTCTCGCACATAGATGTGGTAGAGCTGGTGCACCACTGGATATGTAAACTGCACCTTACTTGCTTCAGCAACAAAAGAGAGGGGGAAAAGAAAAAAAAAAAAAAAGAAAGAACTCCATGTTCGCCCCTTTTAAAATTGGTCCCTCCAAGTAAGACATTCCTAGCATAAATCATGAAACGCTGCCACATAATTCTTCGATATTTAACCCAATTGCGCTTTGAACGCCAGGCATAAAGGTCTTCAGCGAAATTCCATGGCGCCGAAACACCCGCGATTATCAACATGCTCAAGCTCGAGTTGCTGATACCTGTACATTTCAAAACATTGTTAGCGGTGTTCATTTACAGGACCCATGGTAGATCTCACTTTTCACTCTTCGCATGGAAGTAGATACCGCTAACGGTACCCTTGGACTGATTAAAGCAAATATAATAGAATCCTTCAAAACTTGCACCGTTTATGGTTTTGACACGATGATCGGGGACCAGGAAGTATTCCTTCCACCTCATGAAGATATGCTCTCTCTGCGCAAAGTTCATATCTGTAAAATCGGGCTTCCTAGCCATTTTAGAGACAGAGCGCCATGCAGGGAAACGATCCCAATGCTGCAGGTCAGTTTTATCCGTCGCACCCCATGATGGGTTCCGCGTTTGGAACTTATGCTTTGTGCCTATTAGTTCGCCTTCAAAGTACGTCGTGAGCGTAGGATGGTCTTCGGTAAGGCCTAGTGTGCGATTGAAAATTAGTGAAAGAGCGCGTGGGAGTAAGACGAAGCTAGACTAGTAATTCATCAAACGCACCTTGGATGCGGAGATAGCCACAAAGAAAGGACTCCTCCATGTTGACGTTTTTGATTTCTACATCCACATTGTACTTTTGACGGTCCGACTGCTGCGTCCCAACGAACTTGCTACCTGCTCTAAGGTACGAACAGGGGTGATCGGGAAGCAACTGAGAGCGAAGTGAGTAAATATGTCCTTCTAGCTTCTGAAACAATTCATTCAAGGTAGTCCTACCCTGACGTTGGAAAAATCATGACTGAGTGAAGTCATATACGAAGGTGTAGCCACGGTTGAAGATCCGGCCGGGGAGAGCGGTGGTTCATCCTTGATTGACTGGGTGGATACGGACGTTGTAGGACTTGAAGCTTCGTGTTCACCGTCCGATCGGGCGTCTTTATTGTCAGTGGAAGAGGAGTCTTGTAGAGTAATAGGCGTGTCCAGCTCTGGCCGCAACTCTGACGTCGCAATTAGACCCGGAACATCGTATGCATCATGCGCGAGCGGGTTGATTTCTGTAGGCGTATTCCGGCCGTCGGCTCGATCGACAATGTCTGGAGGGCAGGTTCCTCGCGCAGAGAGCGCATCCAGGGAGAGCGAGGCTAAATGTGGAGAGGTGACGCTCGGGGTCGGCATGGGAGGCAATCAACCAGCTGCTATTCAAGCGAGGCACGAGGACATCAAGTATGGCGGAAAGGAACCACAGTTAGAAGTGAAAGAGAAAGAAAGATGATGAAATTCAATTCAAAGTAAAGAAGTAGACCATTGTGCGATTCATGTGGTTATTCAGGCCGTAATGCTGGGAAGAGGCGAGTTCGGCGAGCTGAGCGCGGCAGTTCAATGATGGTCTTGGATTGCCTTTGGTTGAACGGGGGAAGCTCACTAACTTCTAGTTGGCCCACGTACGCTAAAAAAAGTAAGGCGGTCATGCGATGATTGCGGGGAAACCATCAAACCTAACCCTGTCATGAAGATTATTGCTTCGGCTTGCAGAAGTCCAAGAGTAGACCTGGATGAAGATAATGCATCTAATGGGGCAAAAAGATTGCAAATACTACAGCTCAACTGTGATTTGTGCCATGCTGGTTCACAAGTCGGACCCTACACCTGCTTGTTACATGCTAATATGTGCTGCTTGACATGGAATGGAAGACCAGACCTCCTTTTTGTGTGCTCAAAAACCCCTGACAACTCCAGGAAACCCATATTCTTGCAAATTATCCATACCCATGAACAAATACCATTTTGCCACCCTCATAATCTTCTTCATGTATTTAAATGGGTTTGATCTATCAACCATGGTTAAATTGTGGGAATACTGAAATAACATTGCGAAATGGCCACACTCACCTTGAAATGCAAAGAGATCAAGGAGAAGATAAAAGCTTTCAGATCTTGGACGAGATAGTAAAATACCCGTAGACCTTCTGGATCCGCAGACTCGGTCACGTCGACAAGAGATCCTATCTTTGCTGTCTATTTGTGAAGGGTTGTCAGTCTGCTTTCGCGCAGCATTGATAGAGGCTGGCTACTGTACCTCAAACGAGATATGCTCATTCCCAAGCTTGATCTCTAATTCCTGGCGCCCGTCCTTATTTTTCTGTGGCCACTTCGAATCATCTTCCCTGATGATGTTTTGTTAACAGACATACACTCGCCCATGCAGATTCGTCTCTGCGTACTTCATTATCTCACTCTCCTTGATAATCCGTTTAAGCTCTGCAATCATAAGAGAGCTCACGCACACTGCAAAAAGAGAAAGTGATAAGAGCTCAGTTTCACACCCCAGACCACGAAAGGAACTTTGGTAGTCTCACTTTCTTTACGGATCAACGAGTCATTTCGATAATTCGAGTTATTCGCATAGCGTACCGCGGCACTGCGACCGTCGCCGAGAGTGCGAAAGTCGAATTCTGATCGCTGTCAGCTGCTAAGAACGATAGAAAGACCTAGTGATGCGGATTTCTCACCTAGAAACTCATGCCCAAACCGCCCAGAATGCCCTGAGCTTGACGGGGAAGTCAGCAGCTGGGGAGATCTGGGCATCTGTAGGGTCACATCTTACTAGTAACGAAGGTAGAAAGGCTCGCTCTGATTGTTTAGGTTCGACATCCTGCCTGATTTTCCAGACGCAAGAGAAAATGCAGCGCTTCGAGATTGTTCGTCATATTCCCCCAGTCGGGCTTCGATGGGAGATGGATAGCTTCTTGCTTAGTCATCCGCACCGCGAGTCTGGCTGATAACAGCGCTCGTCAATACTGGCCAGGTGTGCAGCAACGACACTCGGATCAATACCCCTTGATCGCAATTGTCTTACGGATACGCAAATGGTGCTCTCAATGCCGAGAGAATTATATTTATTACCACAACGCTTCTCTTAATCTACAAAATAGTCCAGTTTACAACGTTGTTCAGTAGGCGATATATTCGAGGAACCGGTTCTCATCACGGCTGACGACCCTCCGTCCCTCCCCCGGACCACATCACCAAGAGACACTTCCCCGCGCGTGTGGACGTCAATATGGCGTTATACCTTGAAAATGCGTACAGCCTGGTGCACCAGGACAATTCCGCCGACCAGCCCACATTGCAGGAGCTGAAGACGCAGTTGGAGAAGGGGACAGACGAGTCGAAGATGGAGACTATGAGGCGGATTTTGACAATAATGCTCAACGGTGATCCGATGCCCCAGTTGCTCATGCATATTATCCGCTTTGTCATGCCTTCAAAAAGCAAGCCTCTGAAGAAGCTCCTTTATTTCTATTACGAGATATGCCCGAAACTCGATAGCAATGGAAAGTTGAAGCAGGAGATGATTTTGGTCTGGTGAGTAAAATGCTCCGGTTCCGAGTATCGTTGGCTGATGAAATGTAGCAATGGCATCCGCAATGACCTCCAACACCCCAATGAATATGTCCGAGGAAATACTCTTCGATTCCTTTGCAAATTACGGGAGCCCGAGCTACTAGAGCCTTTACTCTCTTCGGCGCGACTATGCCTGGACTATCGACATGCGTATGTGCGAAAAAGCGCTGTTTGGGCTATTGCATCAATATTCCAGCATTCCGAATCTCTTATTCCCGACGCTCCAGACCTCATCTACACCTTCCTCGAAGAAGAAAGCGACCCAGCTTGCAAGCGAAACGCTTTCGCTGCTCTGCTTACCATCAGCCATCAAAAGGCTCTTGAGTATCTCAATAAGACGCTTGATAGTATACCAAATGCCGATGAGCTGCTTCAGCTCGTAGAACTGGAATTTATCAGGAAGGATGCTGTGCAGAATACGCAGAACAAGGTTAATATTTCCTCCACCCGACGAGGACATGGATGAGAACTAATTTATTATAGGCCAAGTACCTTCGTTTAATATTTGATCTCCTTGATGCTGGCGATAGCACTGTTGTGTATGAAGCAGCTACCTCTCTAACAGCTCTTACATCGAACCCAGTGGCAGTTAAGGCGGCTGCTGCCAAGTTGATTGAACTGAGTATAAAAGAACCAGACAATAACGTCAAATTGATCGTTCTTGACAGAGTGGACCAACTACGGATCCGCAATGAAGGAGTTTTAGAGGATCTTACCATGGAAATTTTACGAGTTTTGTCGAGCCCCGATATTGACGTCCGACGGAAAGCTTTGGGGATTGCGTTAGAAATGGTATCGAGTAAGAATGTTGAAGAGATCGTCCTGCTTCTAAAGAAGGAGCTCGCGAAGACCGTTGACGAGCAGTACGAGAAGGTAAGAGAGGGTTCTCTAATTACCTCGTTCCAGGCTAATCCAAGCGATAGAATAACGAATATCGACAATTGTTGATCCAATCTATTCATCAATGTGCCATCAAATTTTCAGAAATTGCAGCAAGTGTCGTTGACCTTCTTATGGACTTCATTGTTGATTTCAACAATAACTCTGCAGTTGACGTTATCACGTTTGTAAAGGAAGTGGTGGAGAAGTTCCCTCAACTCCGTCAATCTATCTTAGAGCGCTTAGTGTCGACACTGGGCGAAGTAAGAGCTGGAAGGGTTTATCGCGGAGTTCTATGGGTTGTCGGCGAATACTCTCTTGAGCAGAACGATATTAGAGAAGCCTGGAAAAGGATTAGAACTAGCTTGGGAGAGATTCCGATCTTGGCCTCGGAGCAGAGGCTGTTGGACGAGGACTCGGATGAAACCGCAGAGAACAATGAGCAGCTTAATGGTCACCCGAAACCATCATCCGGCCCGAAGGTTTTAGCGGATGGTACTTATGCACAGGAAACAGCCCTGACGAGCCAATCTGCGGCAGCGGCTAAACTGGAAGCTATCAAGGCTGCTCGGAAACCTCCACTTCGCCAACTCATACTTGATGGCGACTACTATCTTGCGACAGTGCTTTCTTCCACATTGGCTAAATTGGTGATGCGTCATTCCGAGGTCTCACAGGATGTTGCCCGAACCAACGCTCTTCGCGCAGAGGCGATGTTGATCATGATCTCCGTGATTCGTGTTGGACAATCTCAATTCGTCAAAGCTCACATCGATGAGGACTCGGTCGATCGTATCATGTCGTGTGTTCGGTCTCTGGCGGAATTTACAGAACGGAAAGAACTTGAGACCACGTTCTTGGAAGATACACGACAAGCGTTCCGTGCAATGGTTCAAGTAGAAGAGAAAAAACGGGCCACCAAGGAAGCCGTTGAAAAGGCGAAGGCAGCGGTACAGGTCGACGATGCGATCCACATCAGACAATTCGCAAAGAGATCTGGGGGTGACGAAGGTGATGAAATTGAATTGGACTTGGCCAAGGCTACTGGTGGCGATTCGACTGTCGAGGATATTTCTTCGAAGTTGAGTAAAGTTGTCCAACTGACTGGTTATTCCGACGCAGTTTATGCTGAGGCCTATGTCAATGTCCATCAGTTTGATATTGTATTGGATGTCTTGCTCGTCAACCAGACGACGGAAACTTTACAAAACCTATCCGTCGAATTTGCAACACTTGGTGACTTGAAAGTTGTCGAGCGGCCCACGACACAAAACCTGGGTCCGCATGATTTCTTGAATGTTCAGGCTACCATCAAGGTCTCATCCACAGATACGGGTGTCATCTTTGGTAATGTTGTTTATGATGGGCCTAGTTCGACCGAGTCCCACGTTGTTATTCTCAATGACATCAAGGCAGACATCATGGACTATATCCAGCCCGGGAGCTGTACAGAAACTCAGTTCCGAAGCATGTGGACTGAGTTCGAGTGGGAAAACAAGGTTAATGTCCATTCGAAGGGCAAGAGTCTAAGAGGCTTCCTACAACAAATCATGGAACGCACCAACATGAGCTGTTTAACTCCGGAGGCTTCGCTTGAAGGGGATTGCCAATTCTTAAGTGCAAATCTCTACGCAAAGAGTATCTTTGGTAAGCTAGCATCCTGTTGCCATTTTCAAGTCCATCTACTAATCGCTATCCTTCTAGGCGAGGATGCTCTTGCAAATGTAAGCATTGAGAAAGAAGGTGAAGAAGGCCCGATTACGGGCTTCGTGAGAATACGAAGCCGATCTCAAGGTTTGGCATTAAGTTTAGGGTCCTTGAAGGGATTAAAGGCGAACGCGTAGATATCACTTGAGGCGTGCTTTTGACATTCGATACTAGTTTAAATGGCGGAGTTGCATATTTTTCTCTTTGAATGCTTTTCTTTTACTCTTCAATATGTAACAACTTCTTTTATTCCCAGTTCCAGGTTGTGTCCATGGATCGCCTTAAAAAATGAAGGGAGCAGCTGACCATCCAACTGGTTCCAAGGCACAGAGCTTTTGCCTCTTCAAAATTCTCCGTAGATTTTTGGACGGAGTCCGTATTAGCAATCAGTTGCCCAGACATCCGGGACTGGCAGCAACCAAAAAGAAACAGCCTTTGATTGATCCAGCATGCTATGGCCAGGGGTAACTATGTGCAGGCACAGTGAGTGGAGGCTCGGTTCGTTCTTTCAGTTTCAGCCGAGCTACAGGCAACTGAGTGACATAACATATGGTCAGCGATTTCGCTGCGTCAACATTGACATGTGAAACCAAATATCACTCACTAACCGTCTCCTGACCTAAGGACCTTTTACACTCTTCCTATATTACCTGAGTCTGCTCTCCTACCCCAGGAACCACAGTTGCCATCAACATTCCAGGGCTCCAATTCGGAACTTCGGGATCAGACCCACCCGCCCGCTTTCGGCTCCTGGATCCTTTCAGCCCCAGGCGGCACTGATACGCCTTCAGAAACCTTTTAATCGGCTCTTCTGGAAAGCTGCAGACTGGAAGGGAGGAGAATCCCGGCTCCTAGGATAACTACTGAGCTAGTCTTTCCCCCCAGGATGGTGTAGTACCAAGTCGACAAGACAATGACGCTCAGTAGTTTGCTTGATTGCGATCGCTCGCCAGATGGATACTCGTCGTCTGAAGAGGAACAGCTGCAGCGTGTGGATATAGGGAAAGATTCTGTCCTTGCTGTTGGACCGAAAACATTGTTGATTTTGACCGCTAAGTCTCTTGTCATCGCTGGCATGTCTCCCACCTTTTGGACATGGCGCATTTATGCGCTGTCAGCATTTGCTGTATGGGGCTAATCGAATTACAGATGAAAACGCGAAGAAAAAGGATTCCCGTAGCTGCTGTTCCCCATATTGGTGCTGTATGCTTACAACTGCCTTTGTCCTTCTCTCCTTGACTTTTATAGCCGCTAACTTGCCTTCTCTCTGTAGCTGGGAAATTGCAAAGACTATCTATTCCGTATTTTAACGTCTTATGGGCGGACGTATCCCACGAGTACATCACCATAAAATATGCAGAATCAACCTCAAACGACGATGTCTCAGTTGCGTCAGTGTACTACCCAGTTGATCCGGCGCACAAATCGAAAACTAAACAATGGCTCGAGGAGCTTATGAACGCGGCTTACGGGAAGGCACAGCGCGAAAAGAAAGTCAAAGTGCTTATAAATCCGTTCGGCGGGAAAGGTCGAGCTCAAAAGCTGTATTCCAGGGAGGTTGAGCCTGTATTCGCAGCAGCACAATGCGAGGTTGATGTTGAAATAACTACTCATCAGGGTCATGCGGTAGAGATTGCACAGAATATTGACCTTCAAGCGTATGATGTGATTGCGCCTGCATCTGGTGATGGTGTTGCCTACGAAGTTTTTAACGGGTTGGGTAAAAGAGCTGATGCTGGCGAAGCACTCCGCAGTCTTGCGGTAGCCCATATTCCATGTGGATCCGGAAATGCAATGAGCTGGAATCTTTACGGTACGGGTTCTCCGAGCATGGCTGCACTTTGTATCGTTAAGGGTTTGAGAACGCCCTTAGATCTCGTCTCCATCACACAAGGAGATAGAAGAACGCTGTCGTTTCTGTCGCAGTCATTTGGTATAATTGCTGAGAGCGACCTTGGAACGGACCATATCCGATGGATGGGTAGCGCTCGCTTCACATATGGATTTCTAGTTCGGCTTTTTGGGAAAACAGTGTATCCGTGTGACCTTGCTGTCAAAGTTGAAATTGGCGATAAAGACGACATCAAGGATCATTATCGAGCCGGGTTGGAACAAAAGTCTTCTCATTCACCCCGAGGTTCTAAATCTGAAACCGTTGGACTCCCGCCTCTCCGGCACGGTACGGTCGCTGATCCCCTCCCTGACGATTGGGAGCTTATCACGCACGACAAAATGGGTAACTTTTATGCTGGAAACATGGGATATATGGCACCAGATGCCAATTTCTTCCCAACTGCGCTACCAAATGATGGGATGCTCGATTTGATAACAATTCGCGGCGATATTTCTCGGCTAACTGCGCTTCAGATGCTTATGGCTGTTGAAAATGGTACGCTGTTTGACATGCCTGAAGTACACGTCCAGAAGGTTTCCGGCTATAGGATTATTCCCCGGGAAAGGGAGGATGGCTATATTAGTATCGATGGGGAGAAAGTGCCATTTGAGCCTTTTCAAGCGGAAGTCCATAAAGGACTCGGGACCGCTATTTCGAAATCCGGCCACAGGTACCAAACACCGGAAATCCGGTGATTTTCCGCTGCCTTCTTTGAAGATGATACAGGAATCCGCCCCCGACGATTCACAAAATCCTGTGGCACCGATACTATGTTCGTGGAGCTATCCGTTTTATTTCCATCAGCATTCCTTTTCTGCCTTGGCTTGATGGCATATTGGAGGGTGCTGGCGTCAAGAGATTCAGATTTTGTACTTTTATTCCGTTGGTTTCTCCTTTCAAAATCTCCGCCCAAGTCTTCCACCTTTCCTTGGCAGAGCCCTTTCTAAGCTCTTTTCCCTGATTGTCCGAGACCCATCATGGTGGTTCCATTGTGTTGTTGTTGGACGCTGTCACGACGTGTTAGAAATAAATTTCTATTCTTACATTTTTCAGGCCTTTTGATGCCTCCTAGCTGGGATAATGGCGTTTTCCCAGCGCCCAGCAGGTGCATGTACATTACTGCAAGGCAGGGACGAATTTCTTCGACGGATTTCAGCCTGATCGCTGGATGATGTGGCTTCTGTTAACCTCCTGGCACCCGGATATGAGATATTAAGGGCCAGAAACACATAGCATTGTATGTAGGAATAATATATTCCTTTCTAAGGAGAAATAGCCTAGTTTAAATGCTTTAGATAGTCGCGGTTTTGCTTGTTCGAATTCTCAAATAAGTACGGAATAGAGCATGTCTAATCCTCTATCCCTCCCCACCCTTCCTCATCCTCGTCAGAATCTTCTATCCCTTTGAACTCTTTCACACCCCATATCACTAATCGGCTATCTTCAAGAGTCTCCGCCGCCCTCTTCCGAACTGTCTTGTTTGGACTCTTCTCCTTTAAACGCTCAATAGGTCGAAGTATCAGCTCCATTGGTACCCCATCCTTCAGTTTTGTTCTCGGCAAATCCCCTTCAGCGACATCGGCATTCTCATCATCCTCAACGGCATCGGTGGCGCATTTTTCAAGCTCATCGAGCCAAATGTCCATAATATGATAGCGAATGCCGTCCGGACCTTTTGGCATGGCTGAGGAGTCCGACTGCTTGCTGTTAAAATTGATGGGACACAGTGGGCTTTCTTCAAGCAGGTCGAGGTAAGTTTCTAAATCAGCCCAATTATCCACTTGTTCTTCGTCATCGTCCGTTCTTTTTCTCTTTTTGCTGTTTTTGCTATTGATTTTCTCCTCCTTTCCCGTGGTCTTCTGAATCCCTTGTTTTCTAGCTTTGAGGCCCTTTTTAATGAATATCTCAAAGGCAACACCCACATAACAACGTATTAAATACAGGTACTTGTCTAGTCTGAGTCGGTCCAGGGAATGGAAGTCTCTCGACATCGTTATCCAAAATGCACGGAGGAAAGGTTGTAGAATTTGCCCAGGTAGACTGGGTACGAGTGTGTATGAGAGTGAACGGGAGAGAGATTGCTGGTTTAGAGGTCGATCGCAATGGTACATACCTGTTTGTTATACAATCAGTAGTGGTCGCAATATCTTTACTGCATCTTTGAAGCATAAGGCGAAGACTGAACCATGCAAAAGGTATATCTAACATACAAAAGAATAAGCCCTTCCATATCTTTAAAAGATCAATCAACTGTAAATCGCGGCGGCTTTTCAGGAATAATGTTAACGAGTCGAGGGCTTTCTCGCGGGTCCGTCGATCTGAGACGCAGTTAGACGTGAGCCAATCTAGCTAAAACAAAGCTAGAGCACAATAAGAACGATGACAAGCTTACCACTCGACGTGAGTTCCCTTAAAAACGGAGACTGCTGTACGTCTGTCATATTGAACTAGCTCCTAGGCGAGACCGGATGCACCGGCGAAAGCGCTTGCAATCGGTGCTTTTGTGGACAGGAAAAATTGAGAAGACCTAGGATATTAAGTACATCAAAGTTCCGCTCTAAACAGTGAGAAATATTTCTATATTCTCTGGATATATAGCAGTAACTATGGCCGTGACCTTGCCTCAAAAATTTTGGTGCCATTCGCGATAGGTGACGGTCTTAACAGCCGAAGTTTGCATTGTTTGTGTGGTTTGTGCGGTTTGTATCATGAACTTGAGTTGCTTGCAAAAATTCCCGGTCACCACAACACCGCGCGATGACGGGCTATGATACTTTTGCTATTATTGTAGCTTCACAGAAAGAAGAAAGAAAATAGGCACCGCGATATACACTTTGGCTAATATTAAACACTTGTTGTAGAATCGAAAGTCACAGACATAGTACAAACTCAGGACATTATCGGAACAGAGCGCAAAATCATAATAGGCATGGCCGGCGAGCTTCAAATCAACCGTAACGCCCGGCACACCACGCTTAAATACCTGATGGAATGACAGACAAAGTGGGAACAGGGCCCTCGTGAATTAGGTGATATAGGGTATAATTGCACAATGGAACAGATCATTAAACAGGATTAGGCGCAAAGGGAAACAAGCAGGAAAGGTAGATCATTACAAGGTGGCATTTGGTGCCGAGGAAAAAAAGCCGTAATAAACTTCAAGCACCGGGCGCCTTGTATGCGTTGTGACGGCCAATTTCAACTGCAAGAGGTTGGGAAAAAAGGACATGGTGATTCGCGGATACGGAGCTATCGCGAGGCGAGACTGAGAGGGTGTTGAAAATCGGAGGCAGCATGGTACACTAATTAAGAAGAGCGCTGTAGGACGAGTGCATTCACGAGATGGCCTTCTTTCCATCCCTGGGAAAGTAGCGTTTCGTTCTCTTTCAATATCTTGCCCAAGTATGCGATTCGAAGTCTGTGCTGGCCCGTGAGCTAAACAGAAACCAAAGATTTAGCATCGACACTCTTGACATGACTACCCAAGATCAGATGCAGATACATACCGCTGCCCCGCTCTGTATCTTTCGCACTAGGACGCCGACCGATTGATCTTTGCCAATCTCAATAGTCAAGTCAGGACCACCTCGATCGCTAAGTCTTGCACAGACTTTGATCATATCTCTCTCATTTCTCTTCCCCTTTTCTTCGCGTTTGTCTTCAATATCTTCCTCTAGCTCGTCGTCCGAGTCGATATCCATTGCCAGCTTGGTATTTGTAACCTCGTCGTCAGCTTCACCGCTTCGCATGTCTTCCTCTCCGCCTCTCGCATCGACAATGTTTGAAGGATCTGAAACGATAACTTGAGGAAGTCGATACAATGCTCCATTTTCGTCATAACAGCCATCACAAAGGTCACCTGTCGGGACAGTCACCCCAGCAGCATCAATAATGCTCTGTGCTGTAGGTAAATCACCACTTCTCATGAGCGAGATTGCTAGTTTCAATGCCGCCCATACTTCCGGTCTCCCGGTCACTCGGGTGTCAAAAAATTCTCGACGTTCGCGATCTATCTGAGGTTTCGACCATGCGCGACGCTTGCTGCGCCAGACATGGAGGCGGATCGGTTGGTTATAGTGTTCGCTCAGAGCAACAGCCTGGTGGCGACGGCGAGTCGAATGTGGCGGACGAGAGGTAGAGGCATTGGAGCGAGAGCGAGATAGAGACCGGCTCAAGCCTGGGGGGTTTGGACCAGCTCCTTCAGTAGCGGGATTGGTGCCTTGAAAGGATTCGGCGTGCTGGCCTTGGTCGGCATGAGCAGCATGCGGGAAGCCAGAAGGGTCTCGCGACAAGCAGCAGCCCTGGATGGAAGAAATCATGGATTAGCAACGAGCAAGACAGACCAACACATTGATCACCCGCAACAATGTCCGTGAAAATGCGCCTATCGTCCCGGTACCCGATGCTGGAGGGGCTCTAAACTCTAGACTCGGGGACACATCTCATAAAACCGCCCTCCATTTTGATGGAAGAAGAATCAAAGTCCATCCATCGCTTTAAAATAATGGAATAGGCACACAATACACTCTCAAAACATTTCCCCTCACTCCAGGGTTCCCAACATCTGTCAAGTTGATCAAACAACCCACTTACCATGGCTCATGATGCAAATCAATGGTCTATCTGTCCCAGAACCTTCTCCACAGACTGTAACAGGCTATCACGAGAGGATGGGGAGGAAGGATGCAAGAAGGAGAGAGCAAAAAGTGGGCTGAAGACGCCTCTCCAAGTGAAATGTTCTTGATGATTTGGGTTTCACTGGTCTCCTCAGAACTGGAAGTTTGGGACTCCATCGCCGAGACCATGCGCAACATACCGACACTAACAACTGACAGCTGAGAGTGTGGAGAACATTGAACAGTAATCAAGTAACTAACAAGTTAACTAGTTTAGTTAGCTGCCGTGTCTGCTGTGGTGAGTTGCTCTGTAACTAATGCTCCGCAGCTACCATTGAAATTAATTCCCACCATGAGGGCTGGATGTTTGTGATTACTCCGTACATGTAGCCCTGTATGGAGCGACCCTTTACTCTGTACATCTGTCTGTTTGGAGTAGTCAGTTAACTAGCAAGTTCTCCAAGAATTTTTCTAGCTTGATGCAGTGCATCACTTGCAATTCAACACCATTCTGTTGGTCTCCTTAACAACAACTATTGGTTTTTCCCTGTGGCATTTGGTAGGGGAGGCAACTACCTGTGAGGAAACCAAATACAAAGCCTCTCAGTACATACATACACGGAGTACGGAGTATATAAATACGTATTGTTCGCAAGGAATGATCTGCGCTAGCTGGCCTCCGTACGGAGTACTCCGTAGACTATTAGTTAAGTGGTAACTATGGAGTACATCCTGAATGTACAGTACTTTGGTCGTTTAAACCCCCCATCTTACTCAATAGATCCAGTGTATTTAGCTATGGAATTACAGAGCTGCAACTGCTTCATTGGGATAAGTCACGACAGTTGGTCTGAGAATTCTCTGTTATTAGTGGGGGTCTCAAAAAGACAGTGAATGGCTTTTTAATGCGTAAGTTAGTCAAAGTTACCGCCGTCTTCATCATCGCTACCAAATATGGCTTTGAATACAGCATCACCAGGACGCTCAGCTTCCAGCACCTCATTGCGCTCCGGGTCAATCGGTTTCTTAATTAACTCCGGAAGAGGCTGGTCCTGCGGCAGCTTCCCTAGGTGAATGCTGGATACATTATTTTGGGATTCCATCATCAGTTTATTCATGGTATCTTTGGAAACGAGCTCGAGATTGCGCTCCTTCACCATTTCTGCCGTCTCCCTGGCATTATCGTTGCCGGAACCAGAATCTGTCCTGCTTGGAGCATATCGAAGGTTGAATCGTTTATACAGCAGCCGCGTCGGGGAGAATTGCAGGGTTATCCTGGTCATCGGACCATACATTCCCAACTTTGCGGCCGCTTCTGCCGGGTCTTCTGGTTTCTTCTCTGTTTTTCTGAGTAACGGCCCTGATGGATCTGCGCCATTGGACGGGGAAAGGGTACTAGAAGTAGACGAAGTAAACCGAGAAGCCATCAATCCGGACATGGGTTTGAACACTTCTGCTGCGCGGGCGAATTCATTAAGCTCATTTAACCAATCATCAGTTGACGCTCCTGGGCATTTAGGTGGAAAGTTGTCCGTCAACCCAGCTTGAATCTCAAGGAATGCGCGATAGCGATCTCGCTTGGACTCGTCCTCCGAGTAAGGCATCCACCCACTGGCACCACGGTTAAGTGCTTGTATCGCAGTTTCTTTGTCAAGACGGGGAACAAGATTCCACAAGTCTCTTTGTTTTTGAGACTCCAACCTCTCGAAACCTTTGGGTGGCCCTTCGCCTAAAGCGGGTGGTAGGTCGGTCCTCCCCGTGATTTTCACCAGTTTTTCCCGGCCCTCAGGCGTTATATAATCGAATACCGACTTCCCGGGAAGCTGGGCTTCACCAAGAATGGCGGCTCTTGATTTGGGGTCCAGGGTTGAAGATTTTGCGGCCTCTGCTACTGATATATAGCCAGCAACATCGCTGGTAACAGACTGCAGTTTAGAGGATTTCCAGTCTGCAGGAACCTCGGGAGGTGCATATTTATTTGCATCCGTGGATAGCGACAACGCCGACATGCGATTCCCCAGCAGGAAACCATCAATTGGAAAGCGACCATCGTAGCATTTTCGAAACCCCGGTTTTGCTTTCTCTGCTGCTGCCTTTTTCGAAATAAAAACAGGCTTTTTGTCTAAGAGAGGGTTGGAGGACCTGATCGCAGGTCTCGATTCTTTTGATTTTCGGTCATCCACGAGGACTCTGTTATAAGCAAGTTGGGGCCCCATTTCGTAGGGATCTTCCTCATCTGAGCCTGTGTCATTGAGTATGCCAACCCCAAACCCACCTCGTTTTGGAAACTTGTGTTTTTTATTAGCTGCCATTTTACTTAGTGACAGATTTGGGCCGCTGAACGTCCCTGCGCCACCATCTTCATCGTCCGACCTTATTTCCCGCTTCGACCTTGACGAATATTGTAACCGAGATTCTCCTTGAAAACCAATTCCTTTATAGTCATCTTTCCGATCAAACGATATCATCGGCGAATTTTCGGGGGCAAAGAGGTAGGTCTGACCACTATCATCAACTCCGTCGTGTAAATTGGCCCTCCGCCTGACTTTTGGCCCGACTCCCTGGCCTTCTTTCCAGCCCATCCTTTTCAGAAGTTTCACTCCCATAGTTTCCCCGCTCACTCTGAATATATCCATAAGGCCAGCCTTCCTATTCGGATCCGTTGCTGTTGACCCAAAACCGGCAAACTCGTCTGTAGTGTGCAGCTTCCGTGCCTCTTCAGCTTCGCGAAGGTCTTCTTCGTCCATGAAATCTTCGGGACGCTGTTGAACCGGCTGTTTTCGGTCCTTTGCGCGATCCAGGCGTGAGGAGATGTACGTTGAAGGTGTCCATCCTTCCTTCGAACCCACAGTATTAAAATACCTGTTTGAAAAAGTCATGAGTGAGAGATTTCGCTGATAAACCAGCGGAACTCACCCTGCGCTGAATCCACCAGTAAATGCACCGTGGAGCCGTTTCCGGCCTCGTTCATCAGTCACTTCTTGTTTCCAAACTGGGACGTACGAGCCATCATCCCGGGATTGGCGATCCGCAGCCGGCAATGGGGTGCCATAAAAGACAAAAGGAGAATGCGACGACTGAAGAGAGTCCTCTTCAAATACATCCCGTGATCTCTTAAATGACATCGTTTGCCGGAATGTGAAGAAGGCCAAAGCAAGAATCCGGTTATCTGCTGTGTTTTCCGCTTTTACTGCTTCGCTCCACCGCTGGAGATCGGAGTATCAAAGAGCCGAAAGATCCTACCGTCGTATATCTTTCTTCAATTGTATTTCGAGGTGGCTAGGCGTGGCATTTGGAATTGTCAGCAGGAGAAGCGGCGCGGGAATCACTGCAGAAAGGTATCTTGCTGATACTTACAAGTGACGAACTTGAACAGTCCGTGCTCCGTCAAGCATATGTACTCTGGAGGTCATCTCCCTTCCAGGGTTTAATCACCGTCGTTCCATGCCAACACAGCTGATCAATTCATCGACCCGCTTGACCGCTCTCTGGCAAAAAAACTGATTATATAATACAAATTAATGATCGGCGGCGGTCACCTGGATGATGCAAACGTGACAAACATCTGGGCAGGCGCTGGAGTCACGGGGCCGGGAGTTGTTCCCGCCTGGCGCAGTTGCAGGAGCGACGCTTACGGTACGGAACGCATACTTAAGTTACATCCCTAGCAACGTCCCTCGATCTCTCGATACCCCCCAGACGAGTTGCCAGGCATCGTGTTGCAGCACGGGCACCCAAGACTCGCCGTCAGATTCGACAATCCTCCAAATTGGCTCGCATCGCCGCCTTCTTCATTCCGTCTCACCTCGTAATCTTTGCAGAGTGAGAGGCGAGTTCAGTATCGCATCTGTTGGGAACCATGGTTCTGTGAGGCGGTTCAGACTTTGGACCATCGTTCCTCTCGTTACTTGCTTACGCTCTCTTACCGACGAAAACAGCCTCCACCACTTCTCCACACTTCGTCCTAGTGTATGTAAGTTACCCCAAGTGACGAACCTGGTTCAGACCAGCGATTCATCGAAAGCTTTTGAGAGCCTAATAATACTCGAGAAGATATGCAGCGGCTACCTTTGAACGAATTGACGAGCACTCAAAAGCAGCGTGAATGACATTCTTTGCTGTCGACAGCTGACCCGTTATTCCTGCAGCCTCCACTTCTCGCTCCCTTGTTCAGTTTCAAATCGCTTGGTCCCTCCCCTCCCTCGTTCCCAGCCAGCTGGCCGGGTAGGGCCCGTCGTATCCATTTCACCACTGGACAACCCGCGGAGGCATTACGGGGTTCAGTGCCTCTGTGCCCAGTCTAGTTTCAATTATTCGTCGCAATGTCCACAGCAGCATCGCAAGCTTCTCCAGTCGTAGTTCGCAATCCTGCTACTCAACACCCGCATCCATCCTATCGACCTCCTGCTGCTGACACCCCCCAAAGAACTCGCACCAGCGGTGGAGGGGCGGCACAATATTCTCATTCCCAGAGTCGTTCGGGCTCGCGATCTTACGGGCACGATCGTTCGGCGTCAAATAAAGGCCCTCCATCTGGCCACCCGCGACGCGACTACGAATCGCTCAAAGCCGCCACGGCTCCTCGCAGCGCATCCCGCGATCGCACTCAAGAACCCAATCTGCCATACCGGACTGATTCTCGTGCTCATCGTCGCCAGTCTTCCAAACCTACATACTCTCGGAATAGTACCGACATGACCGGCCCAAGTTCCGGAGTAGCCGATGGATATGGTTCTGTGCATGCGTCTCATCATCCGCCAAACGGGTCTGGTATCACCAACCAGACCAGACGACGCACTACAATCACTGCTTCATCGGGCCAATGGGCTTTAGGCAAAACGATTGGGGCTGGGAGCATGGGAAAGGTGAAACTTGCTAAAAACGTAGAGACTGGTGAACAGGTATCGTGGAAGCCGTTACAATTACGAAGACATTAGGACAGTTCCGATGCTAACGCTTCCCTCTTTTTTAAGGTTGCCGTAAAGATCATACCAAGACATTCCACCGAAGAACATAGAAGCACTCGGGAGAGTGAACGCGCAGACCGCTCGAAGGAGATTCGAACAGCAAGAGAAGCAGCAATAGTCACTCTATTGAACCATCCTTATGTGTGCGGAATGCGCGATGTTGTGCGAACGAATCATCACTGGTACATGTTTTTTGAGTATGTGAATGGTGGCCAGATGTTGGACTACATAATTTCGCACGGAAAGTTAAAAGAAAAGCAAGCACGCAAATTTGCTCGCCAGATTGCGAGTGCTCTTGATTACTGTCACAAGAATAACATTGTACACCGAGATTTGAAGATCGAGAATATCTTGATCAGCAAAACTGGGGACATTAAAATCATCGATTTTGGTCTGAGCAACCTCTTTTCTCCAAAAGGCCAGCTCAAAACATTTTGTGGAAGTTTATACTTTGCGGCTCCTGAACTGCTTCAGGCTCGACAATACACTGGTCCCGAAGTTGATGTCTGGAGCTTCGGGATTGTTCTATACGTGTTGGTGTGTGGCAAGGTGCCGTTCGACGATCAGAGCATGCCGCAACTCCATGCAAAAATCAAAAGGGGCGTGGTAGAATACCCGCAAGGGCTTTCATCTGGTAATTTGGACTACTTAACTTTTCTTAGAAGACGGTATCACTGATATCTTTTCCTCATAGATTGCCGAAATATCATCTCCCGAATGCTTGTTACGGACCCCAAGCAACGGGCTAGCTTGACTGAGATCATGAACCACCCTTGGATGACAAAAGGATTTAGTGGGCCACCCGAAAACTATCTTCCGCACCGCGATCCACTACAGCTCCCGCTAGATTCAGAAGTGATCCGTAGAATGACGGGATTTGATTTTGGGCCCCCAGAATTCATCTCTGCCCAACTCACCAAGGTGATTGAATCAGAGGATTACCAAAGTGCTGTTCGTGCGTTTGTTAAGGAGCACCATACTCCGAATCCTGTGAACGACAAAAAAAGAGGCGTATTCGATTTCTATAAACGCCGAAACTCGACCAGCAAAGACACGCTTTCCAACACCTCGCTCGAAGCAATGCCCCATGGTCTCGATCCAGCTAATGGCTACCACCCACTTATTGCTGTTTATAATCTTGTCAAGGAAAAGCTTAACAGAGAAAAACAGGAGGTGCATCCTGGTGGCTTGGCTATCCCACATAGCCCCGGCGAGGCACCCGTTAAATTCCCCGATATCTCAGCACCTGAGGCTGCCCATACAAACCAAAGATCATATGAAATTCCTGGAGAGAGGGATACTGGGGGGAGGTCCCGGCCAAGAGCTCGGACACACGGCGACGACGAGATATCCGAAGGGATCAAAAACCTCAAACTTGCCAAACCCTCGGGCCCAGCTTCCCCTGCCATCGTTACCCCGCAGATTGAGCAACCCCCAAGGAAGGAAAATGCAGCTGTTGGTTTACTACGACGCTTGAGCACTAGAAGAACCCGTGATAAGGGCCGTGAAGAGAAAACCACTGCCCATCATGCGCAAACTTTGAATGTACAGTCACCAGATAGTCTTCCTCCACCGCGAAAGAGTTTTAGTATGAGAAGGACTAGACGAGGGGAAGCTTCACCTGCTACTATTCACCACGGGGGAAGTCAGCCTCAGCAACAAGAGGTTTCCCGTGGGGAGCTATCTTCCAGAGCTATTAATCTACTGGGAAGGTCTACCAGCGTTAATTCGGCAGATTTTAGAAGCCGAAAGAATCCCAGCCGAGGAGGAACAGATACTCTCTCTCCAGCAACCGCACATGATCCGCCATTGACAAGTGGCTCAGATCGGTCGAGCCTAAACGTTCAAAGATCCAAAGCATCCGATAACGCCAACTCGGATTCTAGGTCAGGGTACAAGCCTCAGACGTTGAGAACAAAGTCTTTAGGCCATGCCAGACGCGAAAGTATTCAGGCTCGGAGGGCTCGCCGAGAGGAAGCGAGGGAAGCCAATGTACCTGAAGAAACCGATGCTGAGCTGGCGCAGGCAAGCACCAACATCGAGAATGGCACTACCGCCGAGGAGTCCCTCAAGCCTGTGTATCTCAAGGGCCTTTTCAGCGTGTCTACAACGAGTAACAAACCATTACCGTTTATCCGATCTGATATCATCCGAGTCCTGAGACAGCTGGGCGTTGAATACGTTGAAATCAGAGGCGGATTCAGTTGTCGACACGCTCCCAGTATAGATCTGAAGCGTGTTATCGATGCGCGCCCACCAAGCCCAGAGCAGCAGGGCATGGTCGCGGGCCACCGTCGTAAAATCAGCTTTGGAGGTCTTCGTGGGCACGAACGTGAAGAGAATAAAGATGATGCCAAGAGTCAACAACGGTCCTCTCGGCGACATGCTGATCAAAGCTTCATCAGTAACTCGGATGGATCCGAGGACTATGCCGCCAACCGTGAACACAATGCTGGAGAACGCGTGTTAGGCGAAACAACGACTAGGGTACAGAGTGATACCGGCGAAAACTTAGTACTTCGATTTGAAATTCTCATCGTCAAGGTTCCTCTCTTCTCGCTTCATGGAATTCAGTTTAAAAAGGTATCTGGGGGGATGTGGCAGTACCGGGAAATGGCTAAAAAGATTCTTGATGCCTTGAGACTCTAAATCCGTGCATCGTCACTGCGAGCGTTGCTCCAATGATTTTACCAGTCTCGGTTCCGCCGATTGTGTTTCCGCAGTTAATACTCGGCACTCATCGTTAAACTGGTTTTGTTCGAGTCCCAACTCGAGCGTTCCTCCGGTCCTCTGGCAGCTTCGATTTCTATAGCCACTTTGTCCCCACAGGGCTTGCAACCCTACCGTTTAAAGCCTGACAAATGATAGCATACTTTCAACTGGTTTCGGCTAATTGTGTCGAGTCGAATCCCCTGGACAGCGAAGCAAGCTCACTGTCACCGTCGCTGTCAGCACAGATTCCTCTAGCGACTCTTTTCTTCTTTTCCCTCAAATATTGACTTTTCTTCGAACACAGTTATTTATGGACTGTCAATGTGGGCCTTATGCTACCTTAGCAGTGTATGATTTTTAATTACCCATTTTCGCCTCATGTGGTTTATTTGATGAAACGGAGTGCTTAGTGACTATATCCACCCATACTACATCAGCCTTTATAAACATTGCTTTTCCCATGATATTGTCTGTTTTGAGAAATGATGATTTAGCTTTTCATTTTTTTTTGAAGACTTTAGCCTCTTGATGTTTGTACCGTATCTCATGCTACAATCAGAAGTCTTGATAAAGATTTGATTGTAACTATTGTGTCAAGCATGCATAAAACAGTTTCAAATTGATCTTTGATGTCACCAGCATTGGTCTGAAATTGAAAATGGTAAGGCAGGTGTGTATTGGCAATTGAATGAGCATAACTAGCAAAAGCTATAAGGCGCATTCATATTTGTCTGCTTACTAGTTTATTCTTATGACCTGTGTAGTATCTATCTCAATACGTACTTGACTGATGTGCTCTATTGGGAGAATTCTATAATGATCATGATTGAACAACTGGGACAGCTACAGGAGTTGACTCAGCATATATTTTTGTGATTGACATTGGACTGTTCTTGTCTTCAGGACTTCATCTTCATGCTGGGCTGAATAAAATACCTAACATGACAGAAACCTAGGCTCCAGCGAGTGTATCTTGTGGATGAGGCTGAAGCAAGTCCTGGATAATAACTATTTCTCAGCTGTAGTTAAGGCTTAACCTTGTTGGTCAACCCGGAACTTTGTACCTGGAAAGGGAGTCTGTGCGGGGCACGGTGCTGCAAGAGGGCCAAGCACTGTGCAGCATGGTTAAGAGTTAACCCAGTCTCACAAGGGAATTTCCAACTGGGATGAGTGACGCAAAATAAGAAAGAAGAGAAGAGAAGAGGAAGAGGGAGCAAGGGACAGGCTTTTTAATATACAAATGAGAGGTTTAAGAGAAAATGCTGGAGCAGAAACAGCTATCCCTCACATACCGTTGCTCTTTAATTCTTAATCAGCCAATGACTGGAATCCGGTGCAAACAGGATGTCTGGGCAACTATTGCTTATGGTGTTTATTTACCAGCTGAGTGAGACTTGAACCTTATTCATACTATTTGAATTGGGTCTATGCAAGATCACAGTAAAGCTCCGCTCCTTTTCAGATAGAATGTTAAGATGTAAGGATTCGCCCGCGAACCCCTTACACAGACTAACAACACTCGCGAGGGCTGGGAGCCGCTCGCGAGATGCTGAGTCACGTGCTCGCGAGCGCACATAAAAGGCCACTGCGCGAACCCCTTAATGGAGGCCAGTAGCAATCTTGTCTACAGTCATACACAGTTGCTAGGAGAATATAAGACTTTTTCTTTGTGTATTCCTTTTCCACATACAATTCCTACTAGAGATCCATTGTCACGCTGATCCGCGAAGTACAATCCTCACATACGATGTGTGAACCTGCATTGAAATACCGTTTCCTACAACACTAATTACAATCTGAAACCCAGCTGACGATCATTGTAACAAAAGAGAAGGGAAAAAAATGAGTATAAGCAAAGAGGGACTGTGAAACCATACAATCTGTCAGGTATATATGCCACTGACATAGTTAATCAAAAAGTTCACAAGAATAATCCTTGTTTGATACTGCCAGAGATTTCTTGATATACTTATAGTAAACATGACCACTGATATCCATTGCAAGTGTATGTGCAATCAACATTAGATTTTTGATCTGACTCTCAATCTTAGCAGAGACTCTCAACTAACCAGACAGACTTACCTTTTACCTGTTAAGGTCTAAAATCATGAAGCAATCCAAGTCAGTATTGTTATGTATTCATGTGACACTCTTGGATCTTTGGAAGTCAAAGAGTATCACAGTGAGTAATAACAGATTGAGGTAGTGATCAATAGTCCAATGGTGCTCTGGTTAAGCTGACAATCTTGCTCTGATGACAAAGAGTTTCTGTGCAGATATAACAGAGTCAGAGCAAGACTATAAGATCTTCTCAAGAGTAGCAGAATTAGATACAGTTATACAGTATTACAGAACTTCAGTAATATAAAAAGTAATCAAGATATGAAAGTATCTGATTTAAAAATATCTAGTAGATAAGTAAGAAGATTAATTATAATAAACAAGTTTATTAAATCTCTGATAATAAGTGTTCTTATATATATAATGCTTCTTTAATAATAGTTCTGCTAAGCTATTCTATCTGTTTTATTATAATATGTTTGCTATATTTTTTAATTAATTTTATTATGCTTGATGCAATCAGTCAGCTTATTAGTTCTATTACTAGTCATGTGATTCTCATCTCAAGATTCTTCTGTAATGATTCATGATTTCATCTTGTCAAATATTATCTAATTATTCTGTATGTTCTGTTATTATACTGCAGAATTTATAATATTATCTTTTTCTTTTATAGTATATTGTTCTTAATCACTCTGTCTGTTATTTTATAAAGTATAAAAAAGTATTTTTCTCTTTTTGAATTTCTGGTTTTTTCTTGTCTTTCTTCTTAGTAAGTATTCTCATAATTTTCTTTCATTATATTATCTGTTTTTAATATTTGCAAGAATAATTTTCTTTCTGCTATTAAGCAATCTAAATTTATAATACTTTCTTCTTGCTCTTGATACTTTTTATTAGATAAAACTTGCTTAAAATTAAGTTATTCTTCTTAATATAGTAAGTGTATTTATCCTGATTACTATTATGTTCATGATAATAATTCTTCTGCTACTGATTAGCAGAAATTATTTAAGATTCAGAACATGCTTAAGTATACTAAGTAAGAAACTTTCTCTTATTTTCTTTATCTTTAAAAATAAAAAAAGCTGCTTTATAATTAGGCTGACAAATTTCTTTGAATCCAAGTTAAAGTCTGTAAAGAACTTGAAATATCTTGAGAAGAAGAAGTAGAAAAGAGTAACTAAGCAGATAGAGATTCAGAGTCTGCTTGCTTTATTAAGTAATCTTTCTTTCTTAAATTTTCTTCTGATTATCTTTAATTTGTTTATTAATGCTTTGCTGAATAAAAGTATTATTAATAATATATTACAATAATTATCTGAATGTTTCTGAGATTTTCTGTTAATTTTCAGATATTTTTCAAGATATTATACTCTTTTCATTTTACTAGATAGTGAAGTTTTCTGCTGATCTTCTGATGATTCAGTATTTATTTAACTTTGTATTTCTGTTTTTTATTAATCTCCATAAGCATCTCTTTAATATATAACAGTGCTTTCTCTAATAATAAGACATGAAATACTGAATGTATTCTCATCTTTTTAAGTAGTTAAAGTTTGTAGTTAACTTTTCTGATCTGTCTCATGATTTTGTATGATCTCAATTTTTTGAAATTAAGTTTTTCACTAGATCTTTTGATTTTGATATTTCATTAAATTAGAAATACTTTTTTCTTCTCTTTCAAGATTGGTACCTTCTGGTATCTTTTATTATAGTAGTGCTTTATTTTCATGTTCAGAAATTTGATATCTAGTCTTATCTGGTTTTGCAGTTCTTATAGTTATGTTGCTATAAGTTCTGCTTCTTGAGCTTTTTATTATGTAATTCTTGATTGTTTTTGTATTTCTAGTTTTCTATCATAATTTATGTAAAATAATATCATTTCTGTAGTAGTGTTCTTTGCTTTGTTATAAGTTAATTGTGCCATAAATAGTAGCATAACTTAATTATTCTGTTAATAGTTAACATATTCTTGCAAGTATTGTTTCAAGATTTGATTTAATCATTCTGTCTGTCCATCTATTTATGAATGGTAGACTGTTGACATTTTTTGTTTGATTTCCAGTTGTGCCATTAATATTGTTCAGAATTTGCTTGTGAATCTGATATCTCAATCTGTAATTATCTCTTCTGGCATTCTGTGGTTGATAAGTACATTTTGTAATACCACTATTGCTGTATCTGGTGCTGTTATTGTCTTTCTGAATAGTATGAAGTATCTGTATTTTGTTAATCTGTTAATAACTACTAGTATTAAGTTGTACTTCTTTTCTTTCATATTCTTTGAGTTTGAAAGTTTTATAATAAAGTTCATTGCTATAAATTTCTATAATTCTTACAGTTGCAGTATTGATTGCAGTTTTTTATATAATTAGTTTTTGTTGGTTTTGCTTTATGCACACATCTTATATTCTTTAATATGTTGTCAAATATCTGTTTACATTTCTGACTAATAGTAAGTTCTTGTAATTTTTGTCATTGTCTTGTTAGTTCTAAAATATTCTGAAGTAACTATATCATGTTCTTGTACCATTACTTGTTTTCTGATCTTTTTGAATATATATATCAATTTATAATATAATATTATTCTATCTTCTTTCTTGAAGTTTTCATTTTCTTTATTAATCTTTCTTGTATATTTGTCTTTTCTTATTACTTTTTTGATTCTTTCTTTAATGTTCAATTCTTCTGTAATAATTCTTGTTGCTCTTAATATCTGTTAATCCAGAATTATATTCTTTATTTCTTTCAATTCTTTAAAGAGTGTTCCTGAATCTTGTTCTTTTTTCATCAGATCTGGTTTTTGACTTAGTGTATTCATTCAGACATTTTCTGTATCTTTGCAGTATCTTATCTTGAAGTTGTAGTGTATTAGTATATCTGTATACCACCTAGCTTGTCTTCTTGTAAGCTTTTTTATTATCATAAAATATTACACATTGTTGTAGTCTGAAATAATTTCTGTTTAATATTAGTTTTCTTACAGTTTAATCTTCCATTTCTTTAGTGACACTACTATTACTAGTAGTTCTTTGTTGTGAATGTTGTAGTTCTGTTCAGCTGGTGTTATTGTTCTTGTATAATATGTAACTAATCTCAGTCTTTCTTGTTTATCTGATTGTTGTAGTCTTTCTGCTATTATACAGTCTGATACATCTGTATTAATCATATATCTTTTTGTTAAATTGTAGTGTCTTCTCATTTCTTCTTTTCTGAATTTGTTTTTTATTACTTTAAATGCTTGTTGGTACTTTATTATTTATCTGAATAGTTTGTCTTTCTTAAATAGCTGTATGAGCAGTCTTGCTTTCTTTAAAAATTCATGTATAAATTGTTGATAGTAGTTTACTAGTTTATAAAATATCTGCACTTCTCTAACTTCTTTTGATATCAGTCACTGTAGTATCTTATTGATTTTTCCTAACTCTATCTGTATTTCTTCTGTTGACATGATGTGTCTAAGATATCTGATTTTTTTCTTATAAAAGTTACACTTTTTCAGTTTTGCTGGTAGATTGTATTTCTGTAGCTTTTCTAGTGTAGTGGGGATTCCAG